GGACTGAGGGAGTAAGCTCAGGGAGAACAAGGGCCATCTATCCAGGGCCTGGCACTCTGATACATGCTGGTTCCTTCATAAATATTTTAGAAGGGAGGGAGGGAGGGAGGGGGAAAGGGAGGGTAGATCTCTGGCCTCATTCAGAGGCAGTCAAAACTGTGCAGGGAGGAGAGTAAATACACAGGGCTGGGTAGCCAAGAAAATGAATTTCCAAAGTAGGGAGAGATTTTAGGGAGAGGAGATAGAAGAACAGTCTAGGCCAAGGGAATAGCATGAATGAAGAAGGGAGCTGGAGTGTGCAAGGCCAGTTTGGGGAATTTTGAGGAGACCAGTTTACCGGGTTATGCCAACTGGTAAAGGTCTGTGATTGCTGAGTTGAAGAGTTTGGACCTTACCCTTCAGGTAATACAGAGCTTAAAAAAAAAAAAAAAAAAAGGTTCATGAGCAGCGGGATGAAATAATGAAACCACCAGTTCAGTCAGGCAATCTTTATGCAGAGGTTAAGTCCGGAGGCAGGGAGGCCAGGGAGAGGCTCGAGAGAGAAGGTGGGGCTTGAGTTCCAGCAGTGATAGAAGGCAGGAGGTAGGGAGGATGGCGCAGGCAGGAGAACACCATTCTCCACCAGTCAAAGCCCCGTTCACTTCGTGCTTTGGGAGAGGCTGGTGGGGTGCTGAAGAGCTTGGGCTCTGGAGTTAGAGTAGCCTGGGTTTTAATCCCAGCTGAGTGCCCCTGGGAAAGCCACCTAGGCTCTCAGAGCCTCTCTATCTATGAAATGAGAACAGAGTTGGCAGCATAATTTTAGGACCCAGTGCAAAATGAAAATGTGGAGCCCCTGTCTGAAAAAGAAGAGGGAAAAACATGCCATCGAAGGTACTAAAATATAAAGCTTTTCCTTTCTTCTGCATCTCTGCTTTACTGGTCACAATGGGGTTTTTTATTTGCTATTTACTCTTCTAAGTAAAGAAAAAGGTAAAATTTAAATTATTAGCCTGAATCATATCATTCATCTTCATTTTGTGCAATGCCAGTTTTTTTTTATTCTTATGTTAATCCCCATACATTACATCATTAGTTTTAGATGAAGTGTTCCATGATTCATTGTTTGTGCATAACACCCAGTGCTCCATGCAGAATGTGCCCTCCTCAATACCCACCACCAGGCTAACCCATCTTCCCACCCCCCTCCCCTCTAGAACCCTGTTTGTTTTTCAGAGTCCATTGTCTCTCATGGTTCGTCTACCCCTCCGATTTCCCCTGCTTCATTCTTCCCCTCCCGCTACCTTCTTCTTCTTCTTTTTTTTTTCTTAACATAGATTGCGTTATTTGTTTCAGAGGTACAGATCTGAGATTCAACAGTCTTGCACAATTCACAGCGCTTACCAGAGCACATACCCTCCCCAGTGTCTATCACCCAGTCACCCCATCCCTCCCACCCAGCCCCCACTCCAGCAACCCTCAGCTTGTTTCCTGCGATTAAGAATTCCTCATATCAGTGAGATCATAGGATACATGTCTTTCTCTGTTTGACTTATTTCACTCAACATAATACCCTCCAGTTCCACCAACGTCGTTGCCAATGGCAAGATCTCATTCCTTTTGATGGCGTGCAATGCCAGTTTTAAACGCAAAATTAAGAGCATTTCACTCACACGTGCAATCACTAAACTGACACCAATTGTATTTCATAGCCTGTGTGTGCATGTGTGGGCCCAGCACACTTGCATTGCGCAACTCTGTTGTGCATGCATATGTATTTAGTTTGGACCAGAACAGTGGGAATACTGCACAACACTTACTCACTGCTTTTATTTCACTTGTTTCACATCCTAGCCCTTGGGCTCCCTCATGAATAAGGATGTACTGAGAGAAAAGGGAACTCTGGGTTGCCCTTTCTTTCCCTTTTCTTCTAAGGACATCCTTTCTAATATAAGTGGTTGGTGAATGCTGGGGAATAACATGAGCAAGAAAGTGTTTCTTAGGACACTACTGCCTTCTTTTGGCTTTTAAAGCAACTTCTGGCTCAAAGGGGAAGTATGGCCTCTCAGGGTGCTCAGCACCCTCACTTACTCAGTCGTAGATATAACACACTTACTTTATACTTGGTTGGAGTCTCACTGAACTCCCATGAGTCTACCAGCATTCTGAGCTCATGGAGCATCACAGACTCTGTATTTGAATGGGACAACATATTCGGCACGTCCTCTCTGCTCACACGCATGCCCTGCTGACTTCACTTACAAAGCAGAAGTTCAGAGACAAAATTATTAAGAATTTCAAGACAATGATAGCAGAGCATTAACCAAGCATCAGGCCCTGTGTGACCACTCAGTTTGTATGCCCACACAGCTGGCCCTGCCTGGGGATAATAACTGTGTAGTACTTATTCTAGCGTTGTTGTGAGGATTAAATTCAAAGCTGGGCCTATCTGGCTCTAGTCACAGCCCTTTGGCTGCAAAAGACAAAACCTGCTCAAACTGCGACAAATAAAGGTAGATCTATGCGAAGAGTGCACAACTGTACCCTGTGGAATCTTCGGGAGCCAAGGGCAGAAGTACGGTAGAAGCTCTGAGAAACTTGGATGCCATTAAGCAGTCTCTGTCTCTCCTTCTCTCTCCTCTCTGACACTACATGGTATCTTGACTCAATTTCTTGCTTCACGTGGACTTGGTTTTCCCCTCTGCTTTCCCACTGCTGTACTTCAGATGATGTCAACTCTGGCCCTCTTAACTCTAGTCCAAGTACCTACGGTCTTCTGGATATAATCTTCGGCTCAACGCTTAAGCTCTCAAGAGGGAGTCTGATTGGCTCAGCTCACCTGCCTACGGCTGAGCTACTCCTGGCCCAGGGCCCTCCCCTGGCCACTCAGCTGCGGAGGGGGACTACATGAGCAGCTCAGGCTGCCTCCCAGGTATCCTCCGTCAGCCCCAAACACACAGCTGCCCTTACAGACCTCCACCTGGAGTCCCCCAGGCCCCTCACACTCCACTTGGCCCCAAATGCAGCCCCTGACTCCTCTTCCCACATCAATCGGCTAAACCCCTCACCCACCCAGCTACTGAAGCCAGAAACTTGGGGGTTAGCTGTGACTCCTAACTATCTCTCACTACTAAATCTAATCCATTACTAGATCCTGTCCATCACAGCCCTCTCTGCCTTGGTTCACACTGCCTCATTTTTTGTCAGGAAATTGCAGGGTCCCTTCAACCTCTGCTCCCCCCCTTCAAAAGCTTCAGGGGGAAGCTCCATCTCTTATTGTTTAAAAAGCCTTCAGTACAAAATCCAGGCCATTATACAGACAATGAAGGTTCTCAGTGTCAAAGCCCAGTCTCTCTGACTTACCTTCCTGATCCTGGTGTTCATGCTCCTTATGATCCAGCCATGCTGAGGGACTGAATCACTGTGTCTGGCACACAGCTGAGGTTTCCCACCTTCAACACAGGCTGTTTTTTCTGACTGCAACACCCTCTTCTTCACATGTCTAAATCCTTCTAAGACCTACCTTTCCACCATGCTCCACCTTGGCCCCCTCGGGTGAGGTGAGGCAAGCATGCCGACTGCCAGACAGGCTGTAAGTTCCGCCAACCATCTGTCCTGTGAGGGGGTTAGAAGGAGCTAGGACCAGATGCCAGGACTGAAGTTCTCAGTGCATGGCAGCTGGTAGGTGGGGAGGATAGACCTGCCCTTTGGACAGCACGCCTGTGACCTGTCACTTTGGCCACTAGCTGTTTGTCCAAGTGCAGATAAAGCCCAGCCCCACTGAGTGCCTCTCGGCTCAAGGGGGCATAGCGAAGAGGAGACGGAGGAGGAGGACCACAGTTCTATCCTGAGAGGAAGAGATCAGGAGCTGAGGGTACACATGGTCTGGGCAGGGGTCAGCAACCAGGGGCCAGGCTGAAAGCTGGGGCTTGTGTGTGCAGTTGCAGTCAGAATCTGGGAAGGCTTTCTGGCTGCAGAGGCGCTGTAGGGTCTAGGGTTTGAACAGCTGACTGGGTGGGCTCAACCCTGGAATCTATGACCTTGTGCTGCCAAGGCGGACCCCGGAGGGGGAAGACAGCAGAGGCCAGCTTGGTGGGAGATACGATGGCCCATGGGATGAGACTGGCTGGGTCTTAAGCTGAAAGGGGTACCTGAAGTAGATTGCTCTCTCTGCTCCTCTTTTTGGTGGGGTGAGTGGTGTCTGCCTTCCCATAGGTTGCTTCCCTGACCCGCAGCCCTTTCTCTTGTCTCCCCTAGAGCGGCTGGAACTCAGAAAGCAAAGCGCTGGAATGGGGGTTCCTCGGTCCCTCCCCATCCCTGGCTCAGGATCACTCTCCCTGGGGGCCCTGGCCAGAGGCCTCCATCCCACCCCCTCAGGCCTCTGGGGATCCCCACGACCCCACCTCTGAAGTTACATTTCCTGCTGGGGTGAGGGTGTGAGTCCAAGGGAACAAGACTGGTTTTTTTTCTCTTATACCTGTTCACTGTCAGAGGTTCGGTTACATGAGGAATAACCGTGCACTGCTGAAAATCTGGAAGGGATAAAGAAAGGACAAAATTCAAAAGAAGAAAACATCAGGTAATCTGCTCCGTAGCAGATGCGCTTATTCACAGGCTTTCGGGTTCTGTCTAGATCCAGGGTCACTCTTGGCATAATTCAAATTCGGGGGTAGGAAGCCCTTCTGCGGACACCTCTATTTTGCCACCTCCGGGGACCCAGGAAGGCTCAAAAGAAGGCAGCTCACAGACCCGTGCTCCGCAGCCTGCCGCAGCTCTCGGCCCCTAGGGGCGCCCGGAGCTCTGCGGATAGCGGCCGAGACCCCTCCCGGCCACGCTCGGGCCTCCCCTCGCAGGCTGCCTCAGTTCCCTCTCCCGCAGAATGGGCGGGCGGCTCAGCCTCCGGGTCCCCGGGCGCTGCGGGGCGGGGCGGCGGCAGGCTAGCGAGGGCTGCCGGAAGGGGTGTGAATGCGGGGGCGGGCCCCGCCCCGCCCCGGGGAGGGAGCTGGGGGCGCCGCATCCTGGCGCGGGCCTCCGACGCCGCTGCCGCCACTGCCGTCGGGGAAGGTCCCAGCGCTGACATGACCTCGCGCGGCGCTCGCCCGGGCCCAAGCTCCCGGCGTCCCGCGCAGTAGCCCCGCGAAGAGGCGGACTCGACGGTGCCGACCGCGCAGAAAATCAGGCGGGCGGCATGGAGGCGGCGCACCTGCTCCCGGCCGCCGACGTGCTGAACCGCTTCTCGGTGAGGGTCGAGAGCGGCCTGAGGCCGGAGCAGGTGTCTGGCGCGCGGGAGCGCTACGGCCCCAACGGTGAGAGCGCGGGCCTGGCCGGGGAAGCGAGGGGCCGCACGCGCCGCAGTCTCCGTTTACTCCCCTACGCCGAAACCGGGGAGCGGTCCTCCCCCTTTCCAGCCCTCGGTCCCCGCGGGCGGGCAGGAAGCGAGAGCTCCGGAAACTTCTGCAGATGCTCTTGGGGCACTCGGACGGGCTGCGCGGCCACCTTCGCGGGGGGTTGGGCGGGTTCCGGGTTTAGAGACCTGACGCCTGGCTCCCCCTCCCAGCTCCCCTTCCCCCAGGCCCAGGGACCTGTGCGGTCCTTCCGGGCTTCCCACATACACCCCCGACCCTAGCCACTCCCGCAAGCTTGAATCCACCACTATCCACTGTCAGCGCTGGGTCTTGGCCCCGCACTGCAACCTGCCCGCATCATGCAAACGCACACGCTGGGATCAGCTGGCTAGGGACCAGTCAGGGACTCTGAGACCCAGCCTCCCAGCTGGCCCTGAGGGTCTCTCCGAGGGCACAGTAAAAAACCCAGAAGGTGCAGCTTGTCGGTTGACAGCCTTGGCGCCCCCGCCCCCACCCCCAGGTCTTCCTCTTTCTGCAACCCAAGGAGGCGGATGTGGCTGGCGGGAGTCGGTGGGGGCTTTGAACTGCTGAGGCAGGAGACCCACTTTTGCGGGGCGGGGGCAGACTCAAGGCCTCACTCAGGGAGTTGCTAGGGAAGGCCTTTTCCTCTTGACCTGGAGGGGCACCTGACCATCTCTGGGCAGGGAGGGAGCCTTCCTGCTACTGCTCTTTGGGTGGAAATGGCATCATTTCTTCCTGGTCTTCAAAGGAGTTTGGGATTCTCCATCTGCCAGAAGGCAGAAGTACCAAGTACTCTCCGGATGTGGCCCTGAGCATATTTGGAGGCCCTGTAAAGGTGGAAGATGTAGAGGTCCCCTCCTCAAGTCACTTGCCACCCTCTTCATCCACCCCCAGGGCACTGGGCACGATGTTAGGGATCCAGATGGAAATGTCCCCTCCATCCCCAAAGTGCAGCCTGGACCCACTTTGTTTTAGGACTTGCGGCCTCACCCTTTCAGGGATCCCAGCCAGCCAGAGGGGAAAGTGCTCTGGCCATGAGCTCAGGGATGGCTTGAAAATTACCAAGAGCTGTCAGAAAGGGAGCTTTGGGTTTTGTATTGGCTTATGAAAACCACCTCTTATATAAATATTATCTTTCTGGAGCAGAAATCCTTTTCCAAAAAAATTAGTTGCTATATTTAGTTGAGCTGTGGGAGGAACTAGAGAGATAAATATTATTTAATATCCTCCATTAGTGACTTGGCAGGGAGGGTGTCATTGCTACAAGAGGGCAAGGCAGCAGGACCTGTCCCCCAACCCTGGGGTGGGGATGGGGATCAAGGCAGCAGGTCTGGGGTTCCACAGCCTCTTCTGCGCTGCTGTGGCCTCCAGCTTGGGAGTCCTGAATCCCAAGGAAAACTGGAGATCCAGCCCTTGGTTCTGCCTCCAGAGGCCCTGCGTGGCCCTGGGCAACATCCGTCTTCTTTCTGGTTCCCCTTTGTTCGTTGATCCAGCAGAGGGGCTGCCTGAGAAGGAGGGAGCCTCTAGTTCTCCCCCATGTTGTTTTGTGTAGGTAAGGGGATCTGAGGGTGAGCGGGCCACTAGCATCTGTGTGAGGTGATAGATAAGGATGTTGGTGTGGTATATAGGTCCCCAAAGAGGTGGATGTGCAGTGGTAGGTAGGTAGGTTGGGGGGCCATTGATTGGCTCCCCTAGTTTCCTTGTGCTTTGACAGTAGCAATAATAAAAGCTAATGATCGGGTGCCTGAGTGGCTCAGTCGTTAAGCGTCTGCCTTCGGCTCAAGTCATGGTCCCAGGGTCCTGGGATCGAGCCCCATATCGGGTTCCCTGCTCCGCCAGGAGCCTGCTTCTCCCTTTTCCACTCCCCCTGCTTGTGTTCCCTCTCTCGCTTTCTGTCTCTGTCAAATAAATAAAATCTTAAAAAATAAAAAGCTAATGTTCACTGAGCACTTACTATGTGCCAGGCACTGTTCTTAGCAAATTTCATCTCTTATTTATTCCCCAAAACAACTCTATGAAAACAACTGTAGTCATTCCCATTTTACAGAGGAGGTAACTGAGTCGCCAGCATGTTAGACAGCTTGCCCAAGGTTACACAGTACTTTGTAGAGCTGGTGCTGGGTACCTCTCCCTCTCCAGCCTCGCTTTTCCTGTCTGTACAAGGGAGTCACTGGTTCCACAGTCCCTGGGCCTGTGGTATTGGTGGCTGTGCTAGGATGGGGGTCAGCTAGGCAGTAGCTATCCCAGCCATGCCGCCAACCCCACAGGGCCCCAGAGAGCCCTCGGATCACTGATTGGCTTCTTCCTCGGGAAGCATTTCAGGGCTCTGGAAGTCCTCAGGTGAGGAGCGGGGAGCCAGCTTCCCCTTCCTGCATCATGCTCTCGCTCTGACCAGCCCCAGCTGAGGAGGAGGCATGGCTGAACTGCAATATCTACAGGCATTAGGGAGGTCTTTCCCTCTTAGGTGACCTGGAGTGGTAAACGCATCTCTGGGGGAGGGCTGACAGAGTGTCGAACCTTAGCTCTGCCCCCTTCATAGCTGTGTAATCCTAAATAAACCACTTCTCCTCTCTGTGCCTTGATTTCTCCACCATAAGTGAAGCTACCATAGGACCCATGTCATATGGTTGCTTATAAATGTTTGTGCCACCAAGCCATCCCTCCTTGTAGCAGACAAGTCTGGGCCAGGCTCCAGGCCAGCTGGGTGGTGGGGTGGGCCCAACCTACAGGTGGAGGGAAACACCCCAGGGACTAGTGTCCTCCCCCACCCCAGGAGTCTATGCACCTGCAAGGTTGTTAGTGCTGGAAACCACAAGGAAGTCATTTGCTTAAGTCCTGAAGTTTGCAAATTCTGCTGGTGGATGGAGGAAGGGAGGCTGTAAAGCAGGGACTGGGGATCCTGCCCTCCCACCTTCTCTTCCTACTCCCTCCTCAGAGGTGGGGGATGGGGGCTCAGCAGTGCTGTCAGTGAGTATGCCAGCTGGGGGTCCCCCATACACACAGAACACAGCCTATCTCAACCCCAGTGAATAGAGGTGTCCTCTGAAACCCCAACAGGGCAGTGAGTGGGAGGCTTCTGGCCCAGCACCTCTTGTGAGCATGCCCTTCCCTGCAGGTCCCAGAGGTGCCCAGGACTCAGCTTCCTCCGGAGGCTTTCTACATCCTTTCTGTCTATTTTTTGAATAAAATTGTGCACATAGTACAACATTCAAAGGGTACAAAAGATACAGTAAAGTCTCCCTAGACCTGTCCCCAACCACCCAGTGTTCCCAGTGTCTGGTGTCTCCTTCCCAAGATATTCTGTGTACATACACATCTACGTCTGTGATCTATGATCTTCTTTACGTGAAAGGGAATGATAGTGAGTGCTGTTTTGCCCCTGTTTTCCGTGGAGATGGTGCCATGTGGGCCATCCGCAGTCTGCCTCGTGGCTATGCAGAGTTTCCTGTGGCTGTTGTAGTCTTTGTTTGCCTGGCTTTTGGAGGGCGCTTGGATTGTTCATAGCCTCTCCTATCACACATGTTACAAGGCATATTCTTGTCCCCACATCACTTCACACACTTGTCAATAGTGCCAACGGCTACATTCCTAGAAGTGGAATTGCTGGGTCAGAAGTCATGTGTCGTGTAAACTTGGACAGCTGTTGGGAAGTTGTTCCCCATAAAGCTGACACACCTGTTTCCTCGCCCCTGCCCCACTGCAGGGCGCTACTGGACATTCTGATCTGTGCCGATCTGATGCAAAAGGGTCCTCTCATAGTTGTACTTCACGTTTCACTGCTTACAAATCGGGTTGGGCATTTCCCCCTATATTTAGGAGCCATTTGATTTCCTTGTGTCCTTGAACGGACCGCCCATCACCTTTGCTGGACATGAGCCAAGGCAAGAGGCAAAACTGTGTTGGGCTTGTCCTCCCAAGTGCGCCAATGCCTAATGGCCCTGGAGAGCCTAGTGATATGGAAGTCAGGCAAGAGCCCAGAAGGTCTGGGGTTGTTCCTGTTCTGGGGAGCTGGGGGAAGGTCTCTAACAGGAACCAGAGCCTGCCTTCCTGGACCTCATGCTGCCCAACTGTGTAGTGGATACAACCACCCCAGAGCTGCAGGTGGAAGGGATGGCCAGATTTAGATTACTGCCAGTGGGGTCTGGGCTGTGACCTTATCCCCTGCCCTCAGCCCAGACCCCAGTTGGCTGCTGGAACTCAGGAAATACAGATGTGTGGCCCTTGGAAACTTGGCCAAGGGGAGTGGGGCCAGGCAGGAGGAGGGGGTGAGGTCTGACTGGTCCAACTCGCTAGGTGGCCTCAGGAGGACTTGTCCCTCCTTGGCCTCAGTGTCCTCCTCAATGCAGACATGGAACCCCTAAAGAGATCCCCTAAAGGCCTCTCAGGATGTGAAATGACTCTTGGATCTGAGGGAGGTGTGGTTTGCCCGCAGGCATTGGGAAGCTACAGGTCTTTCAGGCTTCACCATAGCTTTCATGCCCACTGGCCCTCTTGGACAGCCTTAGAGCACCCTCCCAGGAGCAGCAACCCCTTGTACCAGGAGCTCCCTGAGGCAGGGCTGAGTCTGTCCACAGCACAGCTCACACACAGATGCTAAGCAGACCCTTTGCCAGGGTTTCCTAGTGCCAGATCAGCCAGGTAGGCTGTAGGCCCCTGCACTGGGAAAGCTGCTTCCCAAGGCCCCTTGAGAGCAGGGCCATGTTGTCCACTCTAGGTAGGTCCTTGAGACCCAGACAGGGTCAGGTGGGCTTGGTGGGGTCTGCTCAGTGAAGGCCTCTCCCTGACTCTGCAAGTGGTGATTTAATTGCTCTGTAAACTTACCTTCGAGGAAGACCTCGGTGAGCTCTTGCCTCTCCAGGCTGGAACCAACATTTAGAAGTTGAAATACCAGTTTCCAATGTTTTGAGATGAGAAGGAGTCAAGAGGGTAGATTAGGGGAGCAGGTGGTGCATGGAGCCTGGGGCAGCGTGGGCCCTGCACCCCACTTCTCCTGGGCTCCAGGCTCCGGGCCCAGGGCCTTTACCTGAACCGTGGGGCAACTGACTAAACAATTCTGTGAGGCTCTTTGTGGACGCAGGGATGACTCAGCCCCTCCCCACCCTGGAAGCGTCCCAGTCAGGTGGGGGTGGCCCCAGTACTGATGACTGGTAAAGAAGAGCCGAGATGGGGGGGGAGAGGGGCTTTCCCTGGAAGCCTTCCTGAAAGGCTGGGGTTTGGATGAGGACTTAGGGAAGCGTACTCTGCACAGAGGGAATGGCCCCAGCAAAATCTTGGAGGGGAAAAAGCTCTAGCAAAACCAGGGAAGGTGGTGGCAGTTCTGAGGCATCTCGCTTGGCTGGCAGATGGACGTATGCCTAAGGTATAGGAGGATTCTTGAGGGCTGGGTTGAGGCAGATCCAGGAAGGCCCTGAAGGCCATGCTAAGGATGGTCTTTATTCTGCAGGCCAAGAAGAGCCACTGATGGTTCATGAGGCAGGGTCATTCATTCACTCACTAATCTTTATTGAGCACCTACTATGTGCCAGGCACTGCTCCAGGTGCTGGAGACACTGCACTTAACAGAGTCCTACTGGCAAGGAGCTTACATTTTAATAACTAATATTATAGCTAATGTTTATTGAGTATTTACCATGTGCTGTGCATGTTCTAAGCACCTTATGAATAGCATGTCAGTTAATCTTCACAATGACTTAAGAGTAGTTGCTATTATTATCCTTATTTTGCAGATGGGGAAACTGAGGCACAGAGGGGGTTAAGTGACTTGTCCATAGTCAGAGAACTATCAAGAGATAGAGCAAGACATGAACTTAGCCCTCTGGGCCAGGTTCCTTGCCCTAAACCATGAAGCTTCTCTGATCATATACTCCTCTTTGCCCCCCCCCCGGACCCACAGACTAACTCCAGACCCCTCCAGGCCAGCCCCACGTTGGGCATCTGGGGTGTAGGCCAGCTCAGTCTGACATCAGTGACCCAGAGCAGGGGTTGTCTGGCAGAGTCCACCATGTGAGAGGTCCAGAGGTACACTATTTCAGAAGAATAGTGGGGGGCTACTTCCCACCAGGCTGGCCCAGCAGGGATGTGGGGGGGCTGGCGCTTCCTACTACTGTCTTTGCCTGCACAGTCTGGCGAATGGCACCAAGAGGCGGGCAGGGCTGGGCCATTCTCCCCATTTAACAAATGGGACATCTGGCACTGCTGAGGGCTCTAGCCCCCCCCCCCCCCAGCCTGAGGATAGCAAGGGGGAAACAGCATCTAACAGGGGTGCCTGGGGAGAGGCTGGGAGGGTGCTCTCCTAGCCGCTGCTAGTCTGCTAGCCCCTCCTAGTTCCTCCATGGCCCTGGGACCCAGTCATGTGAAAGGAAAATTGGGTCGTCTGGGGTCTTGGCAGGATTGGAGTTTGAAGAAGACCAGGCCTGAGCAGACAGAGCCTAGTAACGCCCAGAAAACCCTCACAAAAACCACCTGTGAGGACAGCAGAGCCTTTTTGGGCAGGGATGATTTTGGCTAGTGCTCTGGGGTCACAATGGAGGGGTGAGCTTGTCAATGGGATGAGGGCCTCCAGCCTAACAATCAGAACGTAGGATGCCAAGTTCTCTCAGGTGACTTTGGCCAGGGAAGGCAGTGGGACAGGGTGGGAAGGCAGAGCAGCTTAGGAGTTAATCCAGGAGGGGCCAAGCAGGGGACCAAAAGCCAGACCACCTGAGTTCAAAGCTGCCACTTCCCAGCTGTATGACCATAAACTAGTCACTCAACCTCTCTGTGCTTCAGCTGTCTACTCTGCAAAATGGGAATAATAATTGTACCTTCCTTCTCAGGTTCTCTGAGAATCACAAGAGAGTTAATGCACTAGAGGGTGCATGGCATCTGGCACACTCAACACTAATAATTCTGCTATCGTTACTCTAGCTGTGGAGTACCATCTTACATGCTTTGCATGCGATACCTCCCCATTCATCTCTGGAGATAATGTAGGTAAAGCGCTTGGGACATAGTAGGTGCTCAGTAAATGTGGTTCTTATTTATAATGATGATAATCCTCACAGCAGCCCCTTGGGGTGGGGCTGGGTACCCCATCTTCCAAATGAGGCTCAGGACCCCACAGGGAACCAGTTGCTCAGGCAAGACTAGAAGCATGTGCACTGCATGTGCAGGGATAGGCAGGGCATCTCCTGAGAACTCGTGGCGGGCTGAGCCTTCCCCAGGGGAGTGGGTAAGGGTAAAAGGGGAACCTTGTAGTAGAGGCTAGGTCTGGGGAGAAGGGGGTATCAGTCAGGATCGGCCAGGTTATGCTGCAGTAACAAACCCCGTATCTCGATGGCTTAAGACAATACAGGTCATTTCTTGCTCACACTGTATAACTATGTCAGCGGCAGGTCGTCTGGGGGCTCCGTGTCTCCTGTACTCTGTGATTCTGGTTCACAGAGCAGACACCATCTCACAGGTTGCTGGTTACTGTGCCAGAGGGACAAAGAGCTCTAGATCTGCACTGTCCAGTACACAGCCACTAGCCTTGTGTAGCTATTTAAATTTAAATGAATGAAAATTAAGTAAAATTTAGAATTTAGCTCCTCAGTCACGGTAGCCGCATTCCCAGTGCTTGAGAGCTGCGAGCAGTTGGTAGCTGCTGTATGGGGCCGTGCGGCTGGAGGGCACTTCCATCACCACAGAAAGTTCTACTGGACAGTGCCCTTCTAAGTTGAGAGTCTCCTGCCACCACGTTAGTGCCCCTGCCCAGAACTAACATGCATCCTTCTTTTTGTAACTTGCACAAGGGCCAGGAAATGCAGTCCTACTATGTGCCCACAGGTGGGAAAAATCAGAAGTATCTGGGGAACGAATGACCACCAAAGAGTGGATCCTGAGTCAAATTTTGGGTCAGAATGCGGAAGGGGAGAACTTGAGAGACCACCGAGATGGGCAGAGGGCAGCTTGGGGGGGAACTTGAGCTGCTATGTGTGCCCTGTGACATGCTTCCCAACCCCAGGTCTTGACCCTGCCCAGAAAAAAATGGCCTTATACAGTGGCCTAAGGGCTACATGCCTGACAGACGGGAGGGGTGAAGGAGACAGCAGGAGGGATTCAGGTGAGCCTTATGGATAAACCCTTTTTTTGGTCAGGAACACTGAAGACCTTCATAGACGTAGAGGGTTTAGAAGTCTCTCCTGGGTAGAGCATGGCAGAAGCAGGCTGATGTGTGCCATGAGGTTGGAACTGTTCTCGGTGACCTCTAAAGGACCCTGCTCCATTGGAGAATTGGCCCAGAAAACCAGGCCTGGCCCTCCCCTGCCTTTCCTGTTCACTTCAGCTAAATAGATCAGAAGGAAAAAGTCTGTTTGATTTTAATCTCAACGCAGGACACTGGAGATTACATTTTCCACGGAAAATGTCAGCTGTTGCCTAAAATAGGACTAGGGAGAAAATGCTAGAAAATGTATTTTTAGGTTATGTGTTTTCCTCCTGGATTCCTGCAGTCCAGTGGGCTGCTTGATACTCTCCATGGTTCAGCGGCCAGGTGCCCCAGATCTTCCAAACAGGTGGTCTGGGGAGAGGGCTCCCATAGGAAAAATGTTTGCAGATACTTGAGCTAAAAGCAGGTGGACAGTCACAAGGACCTGTGTCAAGAAGGAGGAAGAGGAAGAGAGAGCCAGCCTAGGGTAGAGGCTCAGAGTCTGCATTGCTGACAAGCTCCCAGGTGATGCCAGTGTTGCTGGCCTGGAGACTGGACTCAGTAGCAGGGATCAGGTAGGCTCAGTCTGGGAGGAGCCCCAGACAGGCCTCAGCAAGGCCTAAGCTCAGCCTATGGAGAGAGAGGCCCATTGGAATCCCCCCTTTGAGGCCCAGCTCCTGCCCCTTCCCATAGACCTGCCTACTTGCTGCGTGACCTTGTTCAAGTCACTTTTCCACTCTGGATCTCAGTTCTTGCACCTGTGAAACAGGGTGAGCATTCCTGCCCTGTCACCCCTTAAGCTGTTGGGAAGATTCAAAGACTTCAGGTACCGAGGCAACCAGCTCTACCTGGAATAAAAGGTGCTTCAGGAAATGTAGGAGATAAAAATAGAGCTTGTAAAGTGACAGCAGGTCCTGGTGGTGTTTGGGAGCATCATTCCTCAAAATGTTCTGTGGGTCGCAGACTGGGCATGTGGGATGGGTCTTGCCCCTAGTAGAGGGTCTGGGAGGGAACAAGTTGAGACTCAACCCCTAGGAACTGAACCATGGCAGGTTACGCTGCCTGGGACGCTGGTTGCTGAGGTCGCCCCCAAGGGAACCCCCAGGTAGGGTGGGGCTCAGCGGGCTGGCCATGCTGCAGACCTTATGTCAAGTGCTCCCAGAGGAGCAGGTATGTCAGAGGGAGACCGAGCCAATGTTCTCAATTTGAGGGAGGGCCTCCCTTGCCGTGGCCGTGGGGGACATTGAACAGGATTGTGCAGCCATCTGAGGAAGAGCAGTGCCCGGGAGCTATCAACTCCCTGGTGACCTCAGGGGTCCTGTCTCTTCTCCAGTGTGCTCCGTTTCTCCTCTGTAGGTGGGGGGAGAGGAGGTTCTAGAAGGGCCCTCCTGGCTCTGATCTTGAACCGAGGTGAGCCAGGCCGTACCAGACCCTCCTTAACCAGGGTGGGGTGAAGTGAGTGGAGGAGTGGAAGCCTCTGGGCTCAGACCATCCATTCTGTGACCTCAGAGAGCTGTGGGGACATGTCTAGACCTTCATGGTGGCCTGGATAGGCACAGTTGGGAGGGACTGCTGAGACACCTCCACAGTCCCACTGCATAACTCATTTATCTCTTGTCTCCTCATGGCTCCTGTGGCTGCCTGGATCCTGCAGAGCTCCCGACTGAGGAAGGTGAGGCTTGGGCCAGGGCGGGCTGCAAGACCACCAGGCAACATCCTTGGGCTGTTCACTTTCAGGTTGTGTCCTTCCCTCTCCCCAACAGAGTGAGGCTTGCCTGAGCCTCCCACTATCACCCACCTGTGCCTCTAGGGCCTCAGGCTCTTGCTCTTTGAATGGTAGGGAGGGAGTGGGCCAGGTGGTCTCCGAGGTGGTCCCAGCTCTGAATGGGGGCAGGTCAGTCGGTAAGGGACCCAAGCTTCACATGGTGCTCCGGTTCTCAGGGAAGTCCCTGTGGGAGCTGGTGCTGGAGCAGTTTGAGGACCTCCTGGTGCGCATCCTGCTGTTGGCTGCCCTGGTCTCCTTCGTAAGTAAGGCCCCCATCACCCAGCATCAGAAAGCCTGGAAGGGAGAGCCAGGTTGGGCCAGTGCTCAGAGGCCCAGGCTCTGAACCGCAGGTCTGTCCTCTCAGCTGGGGACATCCCCGGGCCTCTACCCACCCCCTGCCTTGCTCAGACTTCAGCTTCCCTTGCCTGAAACCTCGAAGCCTGCCCCCTACACACTGGACTCCTGGCTCCCATCTGTCCCCTTCCACTCTGACTGTCAGAGTGAGCTTTCAGAAGCACAGGTCTGATCCCCACCCCTCCCTGCCTTAGGGCTAGGTTTCTCAACCACAGCACTATTGACATTTTAGACCAGATAATTATTTGTATGGAGGCTATCCTATGAGCTGGAGAAGATTTAGCAGCATCTGTGACCTCCACCCACTAATGCCAGTGGTACTCCCCAGTTATGATGATCAAAAGTCTCCAGATGTTGCCAAATTGTCCCTCGTGGAGAGCCCCTTCCATGGCTGCCAGTGCCCCACAGAAGAATTTGGGCCTTAACCTCTTACAGCTTGTCTGCGCTGCTCTCCCCCACTCTTACTGCCTGAATGCCTCCTGGACCTGCAGGGCCATGGGGCCAGCGTGGGGCTGTGGGGAGGGGGACAGTAGCTCTCACTGATGGCTGAGCAGCAGAAACCCAAGGGTAATGCAGGAACATGGCCACCCTGAGGGTGGACACAGTTCCTGCTCTTGGCCCTGTGCCCAGCAGGGCCTGGGGAGGAGACCTCAGGTTGGTGACATGGAGCGCAGGGAAGCAGGGGCCCGTCCGGCTGTGTCTGGCCTTCCTAGCAACCGTTCTTGTGGAAACTGATGACTCTTACAGAGCAAAAAAGGCCTGTCGGTGCACGGGCCTTACCACAGCCGAGCCAAAATGGTGCTGGTGCCCTCCACGGTTCCAGGGGACCCACTGAGACCTGTGGAAGGGAGTGACAGTACCCACCTGGGCCAAGAGGTGGGAACAGGACTTTAACCAGGTATTCTGCCTCCAGGCCTGGGCTCTGGCTGGAATTATGCTTCTCTGGCCAATGGACTTCAAGCTCAAGCCTGTAACGGGATCACCTGGGTTTGTTAACACATAGACTGCTGGGCCTCACCCCAAAGTTCCCGACCCGGGAGCAGCGGGATAGACCCTGAAAACTGCATTTCTAACAAGTTCCCTGGTGATGCTGCGGTTGCCAGTCTGGCTTCACACTTGGAAAACCACAGCCAGGCAGACAGTGAGACCTCTAGCTGTACAACGGCCCCATATCCTGAAAGTTGGCTGGGTGGGACGTGGACGGTGGCAGTCACTACCTGCAGATGAGCCAAGGCCTCAGAGCAGCCCTCTCCAAGCCCAGCGCTCCCCAGGGGTATCTCTCCCAAAGCAGGAGACAGCAGACCCAGGGTATGAAGGAAACGGTGAGCAGACCCTGGCTCACAACATCACCCCAACTCACCAGCTCTGACTCCATAGGTCCTGGCCTGCTTTGAGGAGGGTGAAGAGACAGCAACAGCCTTCGTGGAGCCCCTGGTCATCATGCTGATCCTCGTGGCCAATGCTATCGTGGGCGTATGGCAGGTGGGAGGCACAGAGCTGGGCCTGGGCCTTCGGGTCTCCCGACTGCTCCATGTGACCGCCACTTGGTGTTAGAGTCCTGCAGGTTCTTCTGCTTCTAGCTCCATCCCAGCCCCCAGGGGTGTCGTTACAAGGGGTCAGCCTGCAAGGGCCAGTGGGGATGACCACCTACCTGCCTCATGTTCTACAGGAACGCAATGCTGAGAGCGCCATTGAGGCCTTGAAGGAGTACGAGCCTGAGATGGGCAAGGTGATCCGCTCAGACCGCAAAGGTGTGCAGAGGGTCCGTGCCCGGGACATCGTCCCTGGAGACATTGTGGAGGTGGCAGGTACATTGGGGGCCTCTTTTCATTATGTGATGCTGGTGAGCCGATCCCTCTCTGTGCCCCCATCTTTCTGGCTCACACACAGAGCAGGTAGCTGTCGGATCCTTCCAAAGTGCTTCGGCCAGAACCTTGTTGGACAGATAAGGAGACTGTAGGAGGGAGCAGCATCTATCTCAGGGATCACAGCCCAGGCCCCTGCCTCTCAGCCCTAGCCTTGGCTCCTGGCTGTCCTCCTGACTCTGCCAAGGGGTGATGCCCAAAGCCACACTCAGCCACTCTCTCTCCACAGTGGGGGACAAAGTACCCGCTGACCTCCGCCTCATCGAGATCAAGTCCACCACACTGAGAGTGGACCAGTCCATCCTGACAGGTGAGGCCCGGAGGCTAGGGCTGAGCAGGGGATAGGTCCAAGGATGGGGGTGTCTTCATGTGGGGCTTCTCATTTCTGATTCCATGACCAGGTGAATCTGTGTCTGTGACCAAGCACACAGATGCCATCCTGGATCCCAGAGCTGTGAACCAGGACAAGAAGAACATGCTCTTCTCTGTAAGTCCCTGGGATGGCTGGGGCCTTTGTCTGGACACTGATCATAAAAACTTTAACATTTAATCAGTTAAAGCCCTACCAGAAAGAACCTCCTCGATTATTGACAATACATACAAATTTATAGTACTGGTAATAGCTTGTGTTTACTGAAGGCTGTGTGCCTGGCACTGTTCTAAGCCCTTTACGTGTATTTAAGCCTCACGGTGCTTTTAAAGTAAGTACTCTTGTTATCTGCATTTTCCAGGTCACACAGCCAGTAAATGGTAGTGCTGGGATGTGAACTCAGACATTCTGACTCCAGAGCTTTTCCTCTTGCCTGCTAGGCTTATCCTGCTTTAACCTGGAGAGGGACAGAGCTAGCCTATAATCATTCAATGGAGAATCCTCTAGAGATAAGCGTTGTCAAAGTGGTGGAGGATGGCAGAAACGGTCCATTTCTCAGATGGGAAAACCAACCCCCTAAGGCAAGATGCCAGGCCCAATGGCTCTTTTCAGGGCGAGTGGTGGACTCAATGCTGGTGGGAATGATATACCTCTGTGCCCTCAGAGGGACTTACAGGCTGCCTAGAAACAGCCTGAAGCTGAACATGGGAGCCATGAGGATGGGTCAGGCCATTCGGCTGTGGCCCATGGCACCAAGTTATAAGGCTAGAAAACCTCCCCAGAAGTGAACAGAAATGGAGAAAGCAATATTCTCCCAGAGTTCTTAAGGAGAGCACCCTGCCTAGATGCATGGAAGCCTTGGACCAGCTGCTTTGAAGTTGGGGGGATGCTGTACAGGGCATGCTCAAGCATCAGCAGCTGTCATGACGTAGCTCTCTAAGGGGGATGCCCCGGCTAACAGCGGGTCATTTCCTTAGCTGAAGGGCCTGCAAGGGGGTGGGGGCATGGGGGGGCGGGCGAAAGAAGAGAAGCTGAGGTTGCCGGTGACACCTACCTTGTCTCCAGCCTCAGCACAGGGCACCTGTCTGAAGGGGTACCAGCTTGTTAGCCTCCTCAGAGCAGCAGCTTTGTTGAACCATTTTATAGACGTGGACACAGACACTCCGGGCTAGCTGGCCTTTATACCAGGACTTAGGGATTTTACCAGGGCCTTGGGAGTGGATGGACGTAAACTCAAGTCCTCTGGATTCTTCGGTACATATTTACAGATTATTTACCTAGGATCACAGTCAGCCTGGCACTCCGGTGTGGCCACGTTGGCTTCTTATGAATGGCATTTGTCAAGGTTGGTAGTGTGCTGTGCTAGCTGATCACACTGTCGGTATCGATGCAGTGCTTCCCGTGCCAGGCCCCGTGCCAGGCACTGGGGGTATGGCGCTGCGGCGAGTCCTGGCCTAGGCGGAGTTAGCACTGTCATGGGGGCGACCGCCACAGCTCGGTACTGGATAGCTGCGTGAGGCTGGGAGCGCTGAGCCACACGGAGATGAAGGAAGCCCAGTAGGGGATGAGAACATTGCCCTAGCCTGGAGGGGTTGGGGTCCTGGGCCCCCGCCGGGATGCTAAGCAGCCCTTCTCGTCTGTCCCCCGGCCAGGGCACCAATATCGCATCGGGCAAGGCCCTGGGTGTGGCGGTGGCCACAGGCCTGCGCACGGAGCTGGGCAAGATCCGGAGCCAGATGGCTGCGGTGGAGCCGGAGCGGACGCCGCTGCAGCGCAAGCTGGATGAGTTCGGGCGGCAGCTGTCCCGAGCCATCTCTGTGATCTGTGTGGCCGTGTGGGTCATCAACATCAGCCACTTTGCTGACCCGGCCCATGGCGGCTCCTGGCTCCATGGCGCTGTCTACTACTTCAAGATTGCCGTGGCCCTGGCTGTGGCTGCCATCCCTGAGGGCCTCCCGGCCGTTATCACTACCTGCCTGGCTCTGGGCACACGGCGCATGGCACGCAAGAATGCTATTGTGCGGAGCCTGCCCTCCGTGGAGACCCTGGGCTGCACCTCAGTCATCTGCTCCGACAAGACCGGCACACTCACCACCAACCAGATGTCCGTCTGCCGGGTGAGAAGCTGCAGTCGGCTTGGGGTCCTGCTGGTGCTGCCGTGTGATGCTCAGCAGGCTGAGCTCCCTCCTTGGGCTGCCCCCTGACTCCTCTCTGGCAGGGGACGGAGGACAGAACCTGTGGGCTGCGCCATGGTGGGGAGCAGCTCCAGGCTTTCATGGGGCAGAGCAGCAAAGTCTGGCTAGACATGTGTCACTAGGACCCAGATGTCACTGTAGGGCCCTGGCAGGTCATTGCCTGTCTACGAACCTCAGTTTCTCCAACTGAAATTGGGTATGCAAGTTTTGATAGACAGCCATAAAGGACAGAGCAGAGGGTCAAGTAGAGCCTTGGCATCTGAGCCAAGCCGGGCCTGGACCCAACCAGGTTCTGTCCTGCTCCACCATGACTCTGTAGCCAATGCCTGTCACCAGATAGGCCAGCTCCAGTGACCCGGGAAGGGCCGGGTCAGGAACTGTTCATGTCCTGGCACTCCACCCCAGATCCTGGGCCTGCTGCCTGCATGCTCCAGGGATTCTGGCTGAAACTCCAGCAGGCCCATGGGGCAGAGGGGTGGGTGGGGTAATGGTGAAGGCTGTGGGTTTCCCACCCCTCCCAGATTCCCCCCATCACCCTTCTCCCACCTCTACTCCTGTAATCTGCCCACTGGGAAACTCAGGCTCTGTATCCAAAACCCTGAAGCCCATTAGGGGCCGCCACAGGGGAAGGGGCACCTGCAAGCTTTACATCCTGTGGCCCCTAACCTCTAAAATCTCTAGTAGGACTTCATTTGAACAGAGTGTTCCTTAACTGTAATAAAGATTTGGAAAACACACTATAGGGTAGTTGTAGAGGCCTTACTTGCTGGAAGAGGGGCTGAGGAACTTCACTTCTCAAGAGCTATGCTGGCTGGAGGGCTGCCCTCAGGAGTAGGGAGGGGAGCACAAAAGAAGGGACATTTGTTGAGCACCTACTGGGTGCTGAGCTGGTCATTGACTTGGAAATGTGCAGCAACGCAATTTCTGGAAAGCAAGAACTACGTCCTGGGTGAAGTTGGCTGACAGGCAAGGAAATGGGCTGCCCTGGGAGGGGTAAACCGCCTGACCCTGGGGTGCACAGGTAGGGGCTGGGTGACCCAGCAGGCCCTGTAGGCAAGAGCTCACTGTCTGCGAACACCTTTGGGCAGGAGAGTCTGTGCCTCAGAGCAGAGTGTGGGTTTCTACCCTTAGAGGCCAGGAACCCATCCCTTCATGGGGAGGAGAGGGGCAGCTGTACTCTGATCCCACTCTCTTCTCCTCTTACCAGTGGAGAAACTAATGCTCAGGTGCTCAGCCAGGAGTCGCATTAACAAAATGGGCAAGGACCCAGGGCTCCATCCAGAACATTGAGAAATCTGCCTTATACCCCTCAGGGGGTCCAGAGAGGAGGCCCTGCCTCAGCTGGAACCCTACTCTCACACTGCACCTCCCAGAGCTTGGCAGGAGAGAAGGCCAGCAGCTTCTCCAGGGGCCCAGAGGATCCCACCTTTGGGTCAGGCTTTATTCAGACTGGCTGCCCAAAGAGGAAAGAGGTGAGGGCTTGCCTAAGCATGCCTCTGTCCTCCCCAGATGTTCGTGGTAGCCGAGGCCGAAGCAGGCTCCTGCCGTCTGCACGAGTTCACCGTCTCAGGCACCACTTATGCCCCGGAGGGCGAAGTGTGAGTGCTGGGCAAGGGGGTGTGGTGGGCGGGGTTCCCCGGTGAACTGGGCCACACCGGACAGCTCTGAGCTCTGTGGGCGGGATCAGGAGGCCATGCACCTCCCAGGGACGGGGCCAAATGCCCTGGTGCCAAGGCCCCGCCCCACAGGAGGCGGGCGGAGCAGCCTGTGCGCTGTGGGCAGTTCGATGGGTTGGTGGAGCTGGCGACGATCTGTGCCCTCTGCAACGACTCGGCGCTGGACTACAACGAGGTGAGACCCAGCGCTCTTCCGTGACCTGTCTAGTATCCAGGTGACCCTTCTCCCAGAGTCTCAAAACTCCCAGGATTGGCAGTCCCTGCCTCTTTGGAGTGCCACACCCTGGGAACACTGCCACCTCTGCAGACCCCCACCGCCACTGCTTTCTCACACTGGCTTTGAGACTGTGCCCCAGGGCTCTCGGGCTGTGGAAGACGGTAATGTAAGGGACTGTAGTGCCACGGTGTCGAGGAAGAGATTTGGGCAGTAGGACTAGGGAGGGTGTTTACCGTAGAAGGCACAGCCCAGAAAAGGCCCATAGGTCATAACAAGCTGATGGGATGCAGGCATTGAATGCCCTTAGCTGCTGCTGGAGCAGTGGAATGGAACATGCATGAAGATATTCCTGCCTGAGGGAAGGACTTGACCAGATCAAGTTGGGTCCCATAACGAGCTGAAGGCGGTAGACAGCCACCAAGGGCTTTTGAGCAGAGGAGTGATATATATGGTCAGATTTGCATTTACAAAAGATTGCCTAGGCTTCTGTGTGGAGGATGGAACAGACAGGACAAGAGTGGATTCAGGGAGCCCCTGTGTGTTCCCCCAGGTCAGAGAGTTGCTGGCTGGGGCTCCAGGGAAAGGGAAGAAAGCGTGGGTTGGAGATTTAGGGTGGGACTTGGTGACTGGTTAGGTGAAAGAGACAGAGGGTACCTCTTGGTTGTTGTCCTGGCTGGGACTGTCCACTGGAGTGGCAAATATAGGGATAAGGGGAGGTGGCCTGAGGGTCACTAAGGAACCAAGTCCAACAGGCAGCAATTAGATATGTGGGCTTGGAGCTCAGGGGAAATGTCACTGCCAGGCTGGGCACTGGAAGTCAAGCACATGACAGGTGGGGGAAGCAGGGGGTATATGAGGCCTCAGGGAGAGAAGGTGGGAGGGAAGGAGCAGGGTCTGGACAGCAGAGTTTAGAAAGAGGAATCTGGGGAATCTGGGGAAGGAGGCTGAGAAGGAGCCTGCAGAGAGTGAGGTGGATAGCAGGGAGGATACACGTTCACTGAGGCCTGGGGCGGAGGTGGGGGTGGGGATGGGGCGGAGGGGGTGTCAGAAGGGAAGGGAAGCCTCAGTGCCAGACACTCTCCAGACCCCATGTCAGCTGGACTGGGAAGGGCCCCACTGGCCTGCTGCAAAGGAGGTTAAAGGTAACTCTGGTAACGAGAGCTCCAGGGGCCAGGAGGTAAGGTAAGGATGTGGGAGGTAAGGATGGGGGTCCACTGGAGGCTGCCCTGCTCTTCACCCCCTGTACTCTGGGCCCCACCAGGCTAAGGGCGTGTATGAGAAGGTAGGAGAGGCCACGGAGACGGCTCTGACTTGCTTGGTGGAGAAAATGAATGTGTTTGACACCAACGTGCAGGCCCTATCCCGGGTGGAGCGAGCCAGTGCCTGCAATGCGGTGAGCACAGTGAGGGCTCTGGCCACAGGCCTCGTAGCTGGGGCGTCTGGGCATCTGGAGAAGAAAGGGAGGAGGACAAGGTCTTGGGAGGCCTCTGGGAGGAGGAGGGACCCCAGACCCTGGTAAGACTTGGCTAGAGAGAAAAGAGAGGAGGAGGCTGAGTGTGGGCGAGGACCTAGAGTTGGGAAGTGCACAGCATGGCCAGGAAGTGGCAACCTTTTGGGAGGGGGGGGGGGAGGGGGGAAGGAGGGAGGGAGGGGGGAGGGGGGGCTTCAAATGTCAGGATCAGAGGCAGATAGACATCATCCCACAGGGAGCAAGAGGCTCTTCATGGGATCCAGCTGCTGGAAAGAAAGCAGTGAGAGTTTCTGGCTCCGCCCCTCACATCCTGACCCTTCTGAGCCCCATAGGTCATCAAGCAGCTGATGCGCAAGGAGTTTACTCTGGAGTTCTCCCGAGACCGGAAGTCCATGTCAGTGTACTGCACGCCCACTGGCCCTGGCCTGGCAGCGCAGGGCAGCAAGATGTTCGTGAAGGTGGGGCCTGCCTAATTGGCCTGGGGCTTCTGCACATGTGGAGTCCCTGGGAGATCTGATCTTCAGTCCCCTGAAGAGCTAGTGACTGCCACTGTGGGAGACTGAGGGAGCTGTGAGGCCCATTGTCGAAGCAGTGAATCTAGAATGAGGGTGGTCAGCCTTCCATGGGGAACTGGGAGCAGGATCCAGCCTTAGTGGAGATAAAGCCAGGGCCAGGCACCAAGGCTTGCCGCTCACCATGGTCCCAACTCTGGGCTGAGAGGCACTGCCTTGTCTCATGACCTTGGGGTCACCTATGCTCCTCCATGGGCCTCAGTCTCCCCATCTGAATGGCAAGGTCAAGCTGGAAGATCTCAAAAGCCTTTCACCTCCGATGGGGGTGTTGCAGTGGTTGGTGCCCATCTTTGGTGCTTCACGTTCTGGAAACTGAGTCCTAGGGAAGGAAGTCTCCCATCCAGACTTCTGCCCATCATACTGCCTGTCACTGCTTTTCAACCTGAAGTAGGAATGACAGTCCTAACTTCACACTGAAATGGAGGTTTTAACCCCTTTTGAAATGAAAAGGCTTCTGTATTGGGATCTCAGGCCACCTTGAAAACTTAGCATTTGGAGTGCCCTTTGGGGAGAGGGAGAAGGCGTTGATGGAGGGTTCAGAAGCTATTCCCAAGGTGAGAATAGGGGCAAGACCCAAGGTGAGACCCCAAGGCTAGTGAGGAACCTGTCACCCCCAAGAACACCTTCCCAGAGCCACACCCTCAGCATGGTTCTATTTCTGGTCCCCAGGCAGGGCTCAGCTTGCCTCCCATTGCTGAGCCCCCTACAGAATTGGGATCCCAGCCGCACCAGATTGGCAGGGAGGCAGGACCTGTAGGAGGGCTGCCCGTCCTCTCCCCCCTCCCCAAATGCTGCAGCAGACCTTCCCAGCTTTGGGTTGGTGGGGGGGGAGGGTGCCACCCAATGGGCAGCCACAACCCCCCCCATTCCTTTTGGGTTTTCTCACAGTGAGGCCCCCTTGGTTCTCACTCTGAACTTTCAAAGAATGGAATCTGGTCCATATCTTGCTTTGTGTCCCTTTGGATGGCATTTTCCCATTTCTGGGCCTCAACTTCCTCAGTTGGGCAAGAGGGGAAGGAAGGGGTCCTGACTGACAGAGTTGCCTCTCCCCTCACCCACGATACAGGGGGCTCCTGAGAGTGTGATCGAGCGCTGCAGCTCAGTCCGAGTGGGGGGCCACACAGTACCCCTGACTGCCACCTGCAGGGAGCAGATCCTGGCCAAGATTCGGGATTGGGGCTCAGGCTCAGACATGTTGCGCTGCCTGGCACTGGCCACTCGGGATGCACCCCCCAGGAAGGAGGACATGCAGCTGGACGACTGCAGCAAGTTTGTGCAGTACGAGGTGGGCGCCAGGGCAGAGCCCCAAGGCTGGGGGCTGTGCGTCTCCCTGCAAAGGCTGTGCAGGTAGGAGGTTGAGCATGGGCCCAGGCTCCACTTGCATCTGCCCCCTCCCTACAGGCGGACCTGACTTTTGTGGGCTGCGTGGGCATGCTGGACCCTCCAAGGCCTGAGGTGGCTGCTTGCATCGCACGCTGCCACCAGGCCGGCATCCGTGTGGTCATGATCACAGGGGACAACAAAGGCACAGCTGTGGCCATCTGCCGCCGGCTTGGCATCTTCAGGGACACAGAGGACGTGGTGGGGAAGGCCTACACAGGCCGCGAGTTCGATGACCTCAGCCCCGAGGAGCAGCGCCACGCCTGCCGCACGGCTTGCTGTTTTGCCCGTGTGGAACCTGCGCACAAGTCCCGAATCGTAGAGAACCTACAGTCCTTTAATGAGATCACCGCCATGGTGAGGCCACAAGATGGGACCCGAGCTGAGGTGGGGAGGAGTGAGGGGGACACTGGCCATAGAGCTTGGAAAGAGCAACCCATACCACCTCTGCTTCTGCTTCATTCTTGTTTTTTTTTTTTTTAAAGATTTTATTTATTTTTTAGAGAGCCAGCGAGAGAGAAACAGCATGAGAGGGGAGAGGGTCAGAGGGAGAAGCAGGCTCCCCGCTGAGCCGGGAGCCCGATGTGGGACTCGATCCCAGGACCCCGGGATCATGACCTGAGCCGAAGGCAGACGCTCAACCATCTGAGCCACCCAGGCGCCCCTCATGTTTTTTCCAACGGTTTATTACAAAAAATCTCAAACGCAAGAAGAAATTAAAATAGTTTCCTAGTAAACACCTGTAATATCTATGATCTAGATTCTACAAGTAATATTCTGTTTGCTTTGCAAATACCTATCCATCTATCCATCCTTCATCCATCTTTTCTTAAATAAATTTCAAAGTAAGTTGCAGACATCAGTACACTTCACCCTCACATAATTTAGAATGCATATTCTAGAGAGCAGCAGTTCTTTGTGGTTCTATTTTTTTCCTTTTTGAGGCAAAACTTACATGCAATGAAATGCACAAGTCTTTCTTTTTTTTTTTTTTAAAGATTTTATTGTTTTATTTGACAGAGAGAGAGAGAGAGCGAGAGCAGGAACACAAGCAGGGGGAGCGGGAGAGGGAGAAGCAGGCTTCCCGTGGAGCAGGGAGCCCGATGTGGGACTTGATCCCAGGACTCTGGGATCATGACCTGAGCCGAAGGCAGACTCTTAACGACTGAGCCACCCAGGCGCCCGAAATGCACAAGTCTTAAGCATATCATTCATTTGATGTGTTTTGATAAGTGCAGACACACCTTTGCGTGTCATCTGAACCCTTATCAAGATAAGGAACATCACTATGGACGCATGAAGTTCCCTCACGTACCTTCCCCATCAGGCCCCTCTCTCACAACAGGCCATTTTTCTACCATCGATTGCCTGTCCTAGATTTTCATATGAATGGGATCACACAGTGTGTACTCTTGTGTCTGGCTTCTTTCTTTTGAAATTTATCCACGTTGTCTGGGTATCAGTAGATGATTGTTTTTTATATCATTAAGTAGCCTTCCACCATGTGAATATAACCACAGTTTATTTATCTGTTATCACCTTTGGATAGACCTTTTCTTTGGGCCCAGTTTTTTGTTTTTGGTCTCATTCTTGATTACAGACCTATTCTCAACACTGATCTGATTCTTGACCCCAGTCTCACCCCTGACCTGGCCTCTGTTGACCTCCACCCCCAGTCCTTTACCTTGACTTTAATGCTAACCTGTGACCCAGTCTTGACCTTGATACTGAGCTGGTCACCAATCTTGACTACAGTTGTAATCTGGTTCTTTATTTTTGACTTTCATGTTGACTTGGTTCCTGACCTTGAACTTGACCATCTTAATCTGATTTTTACTTTGAGCTCAACCTTGTTAGGGGCTGCAGTCTTTTTTTTTTTTTAATTTTTTATTGTTATGTTAATCCCCATACATTACATCATTAGTTTTAGATGTAGTGTTCCATGATTTATTGTTTGTGCATAACACCCAGTGCTCCATGCAGAACGTGTAGGGGCTGCAGTCTTGACCTGCACCCTGACCTGATCCTTGACATTGACCTTGACCCCTAAAAACCAATACTTTATGTAGTCCTCAACTTTATATGGTCTCTAATCTTGACCTTGACTGCATCTCCAACCTTGACTGTGACATCACTCCTGATGTGGACCATAACCTTGATTTGGCCTCTGACTTTGACTTGACCTTTACCTGAGTCCAGTGTTGACCCAGACCTTCACCTTGGCTCCAACCTTTAGCTATAACACCTACCTGGTTCTTTTCCTGGGCCACAACCTTGACCTCATCCCTGACTTAACCTTAATTTTGCCCCTAATCTCAGTTTCATCTTCTACACCACAGCCAACCTGAATTTCATCTCCACCATCCTCAGTGACCCACCCTCTTCCCCAAGTCCACCTCATCAAGAAGATGAGGACCTTCAAATTGATCTTCTCTTCAAAATTGTCCTGGTCTGCAACTGTCTCATCCCCAGCCCAGTCTCTAAGTTCCTTTTCAACCTCACCATTTGCTCTATTCAGCTGTCTGCTTCCTTGGGGATGTCCCCTGAGCTTGGGGATAGACTTAGTTGAGGGGAGTCAAGGAAGGAGAGGTGAAGTTTCTTAGGCATGATCCTACCTAACTTTGCCCCCAGACCGGAGACGGGGTGAATGATGCCCCGGCTCTGAAGAAAGCAGAGATTGGCATTGCCATGGGCTCTGGCACAGCTGTGGCCAAGTCAGCAGCCGAGATGGTGCTGTCAGATGACAACTTTGCCTCGATCGTGGCCGCGGTGGAGGAGGGACGTGCCATCTACAACAACATGAAGCAGTTCATTCGCTACCTCATCTCCTCCAACGTGGGCGAGGTGGTCTGGTGAGGCCCTGTATTTCCTCTTCCCAGCCTCTTGACCAGCTCCAGGTCACTAAGGGAGATGCCTGTTCCTGGGATGGGGCTCTACGGGTGGAGGGGCACATGTCCTGCCCTGGCTGGGGCCTTCTAGGGTCTCACCTCAAGGAGGGCAGGGGCAGGAGCACCTCATCATTCCTCCAGAGGCCTCGGTGAACCCCAGCCCCCAATGAGGGGCCTAAAAAGTACCCTATCATCCCTCAGCCATAACTCCCACGTTTAGAGTTGGCAAGATGGGAGAACTAGCCCCCCTTTGGGGCAGTAATTGTGCTCACATGTGTATGTGAATGTGTGCACACAGTTGTGTGTGTACTCAAATGAAAGGTACGTGTTCTCTTGTGCGTCTTTGGGCATAAGTATGAGCACAGAGGGTTTGTGCTCGTACATAATTTGTACACACTCAGGCTCCCATGTGAGAGAGGCCTGTGGGGAATGGTGAGCACAAGTTTGCCTGGACACATGTGAATCCCGCCGTCTCTGCATGTGGGGACAAGCGTTGTAGGTGCTTATGTTTGTGTGATTGTGTGGCCTGTGCTAAGTTTGGCTCCTGTCTGTCAAAAAAAAAAAATGTGTACGTACTCAGGTGTGTGTTGTCCACGTGCACACATGCCCTAGAGGAGTTGTGGCCTAAACAGGAGAGGCCTAAAGGCCAGATTTGTCCAGGTTCCAGAGGTGAGATTGAGGGCAAGAGTGACCCAGCGTGGGGCAGAGCCACGCACACACGTAAGAACTGGCAAAGTGAGATGGGGCTCCTATGCAGACGGTAGGTGAGCTTCCCAGCCTTGGGAGTAGGAGTAGGACCCTCCAGTTGCTGGGGACTGGAGCCTGTGACTCTGGTTCCAGCATCTTCCTCACGGCAATTCTGGGCCTCCCGGAAGCCCTGATCCCTGTGCAGCTGCTCTGGGTGAACCTGGTGACAGATGGGCTACCTGCCACAGCCCTGGGCTTTAACCCACCAGACCTGGACATCATGGAGAAGCTGCCGAGGAACCCTCATGAGGCCCTCATCAGCGGCTGGCTCTTTTTTCGATATCTGGCTATTGGAGGTGAGTGGGGCCCTCAGTGGAGTTTCAGGGGCTTCTTGAGAGTTCTCTGACTTAGGCTTGCAAACTACAGACAGTATGCCTGGGCCTGGCTCATGCCAAAAGAAACTGGGCTCATCTCAGGGAAAAGACTAGTGCATGCTTCAGGTATGGCTGGATCCAGGCCTCAGGATCACCGGCATATTTTGGCTCTGCCTCAGCTCCATTCTCAGGCATCCCCTGGAGGGGGGATGGCTGCTGCAGCTGTAGCCTCATGTTTACTCCATCACAACCCCAAATTCAACAGAACAGAGAGTGACCCCTCAGTAATATGACAAAAGTCTCAGACCTGTTCTTGGCCCAGATTGGGTCACCTGCTTATCTCCTACCAATCACCATGGCCAGGGGTGTGGCGGGTGCTGATTGCCGGTCAGGGCCCACCACTGTTGCTAAGGACAGGTGCTTGCAAACCACATGGCTCAGAGAGGGAGAGGGTGGTTCTTTGACAGAAATTCAGGGGATTGTTAGGAAGAAGTGGATGCCAGAAAACCACAGCTACCCACTATAGCCTGTCTCCTCCTCTCCTTGCAGTGTACGTGGGCCTGGCCACGGTGGCTGCTGCCACTTGGTGGTTCCTTTATGATCCCGAGGGACCTCACGTCACCTTCTACCAACTGGTAAGCAAGGACAGCCAGGGAGCCTGTTGGGGTTATTTCTGAGGTGGAAATCACAGCCCAAGTAGTTGTTGGAGTTCCAGGGGAAAGGGGCCTGGAACCCCATGGTTGACCTACAGCTGTCCCTCCTTACCCCCATACACGTACACAGACATCCACCATCAAAGGAGGCAAGCTCAGAAGCCACTGGAAACCTAGAGATAGCAGCCCAGCTCCTGAGCCAGAGAAGTGGTTACTCCTTCTCCTAATCATTTAGTTAGGGGACTAACAAGGGGCATAACTGTGCAGAAGTATCTTACCTTTATCATGGAACCCCCCAAAAATTGAGGGCTCAGAGATATGAACCCCTAAAAGTAGAACTTCAGGCAGGGGGTCCAAGTAAGGAGATTGACAGTGGAGGGAAGGAATCTGCCAGGCTCCCCCTCCACCTCCATAACAACATGCTTCTCTAGAAAGGGATCCACTGACCTCTTGAAGTCACCTGCCTAGCAGGTGCCCACCACAGGGCTAGCTTAGCTCAGCATAGCTCTAGAAGCAAGCAAAGAGACCCCTCAGCTGCTATCTGTCAGTCTGTCCCTCTGTCTGGGCATTTCCTTTTTTTTAATTATTATTTTTAAAGATTTATTTATTAGAGAGAGAGAGAGAGAGAATAAGCGTGGGGTAGAGAGGCAGAGGGAAAGGGAGAGAGAATCCAAACAGACTCCACACTGAACACAGAGGCCGATGTGGGGCTCGATCTCACAACGCTGAGATCACAACCTGAGCCAAAACTGAGTTGGATGCTTAACTGACTGCGCCACCCAGGCGCCCCTATCTGGGTATCTCTTTTGCTTCAAAGAACCTTCGCAGCAAATCTAGCAAAGCCAGTTGTGGATTTTTCATTTAAAGCTGAGAGCTGCAGGGATTTAGGATCTTCTTCCCCTGAGTGTACCTGCCTTCGTTACCTTCTTGTGGATAGAAGAGCTCAAAGGAGGGACCTGACCCTTTGCCCTGTCACTGGCTGTCCTCCCTGGGAGACTCTGTGATTTTGGGCCTTATCACAGTATTTACATCTAGGTACAGTCAGCTCAGGGACACTTTCCTGGTACCCACCAGCCCTCCAGCACGTGGGCTCTCCTTTCTGACAGCAGTGCAGAGCACAGGCCCAGGCTCTCATCCCAAAGGCTGGTGCCCCCCAGCCCTTGGCAGAAAGTTCAGGCCAGCCTCAGGCACCTCTGCTCAGTTAGCTCCTATGGGAGCAGCAAGGTGCAGCGCAAGGGCATGCTAACCATCCTGCCTCTGCCTTCTTCAGCACTGTCTCTGTTACCCTGCTTTATCTATAGATCTCAAATCTCCCAGGATACCCCACCCCCATCCCGATCTTTCTTCTGAGCCCAGTCCCATATATCCAGCCGGATATCTCCTCTGGGATGTCCCACAGGCCCACTGCACTTACCAAAATAAAATCTATCACCTTTCCCCAAATCATCCCTTTCCTTCATCCCCATCTCAGTTCTACAGCCGACCTGGTCACCCATGCCAGACCCGTGGGGGTCATGGTAGGCGCATACCCCATGCCCACTACTAGTTAGTCCCCAGTCCCATTGGTGCCACCTTCCCAACTGTCTTCAGGTCATTCCATTTCTCATTTATCCATCTGGTCAAAAAATGACTATTAAGCATCGACTGTGTGCCAGTCACCAAGCAGGCAAAGGCTCTGCGAAGACCTGGGAAGAACACGGAAGTGGGCAGTCACGTTTGAAGGTGAGAAGCTTCAGCAGAAAAAATACCGGTGGCTGTGGGACTTGGAGGTGGTCTAGGGTTAGACCTAAGGTAGAGCTTTCAGCTTTGGTTGTTGGAATTTCAGCAGAGCTGCCTAGAACCGCCCTTGGTTCCTGAAGGAAGCTGTCAAAAGGCAGCAGAGTGGTTAAGAGCACAGAGCATGGAGCCTGGACCCAGGCTGCCTGGGTCCACACCCTAGTTCTGGCCACACACTGGCTGTGTAACTTTGGACAGGCTACTTAGCCTCTCTATTAGTGTCCTCATCTATAAAATGGGTAATAATTGTCCTTGCCTCAGCCCTCATAAGGCGGTCAGGAGGATTAACTTGGAGTCAATTCTTGTAAAGCGCTTAGACCAACATCTGGCACATAGTAAGAGTTGTGTAAGTATTAATTAAATTAGTGAAACACAGAGGAGGCCTTGCAGGATAAGGTAAAGAGGAAATAGCCAGGGAGGCAAAGGGAAGGAGTAGGCAGAGCAGTGGCATCACCCAGAGAAAACAAGCCCCCACCCCAACAAGGCTCACAATGAACCTATGAGACAGAAGTTCCAGCCCTGAGTACCTTCTTTTTATTTTATTTTATTATTATTATTTTTTAAGATTTTATTTATTTATTTGAGAGAGAGAGAGAATGAGAGAGAGCAAGCACATGAGAGGGGGGAGGGTCAGAGGGAGAAGCAGACTCCCTGCCGAGCAGGGAGCCTGATGCGGGACTCGATCCAGGGACTCCAGGATCATGACCTGAGCTGAAGGCAGTCACTTAACCAACTGAGCCATCCAGGCGCCTGCCCTGAGTACCTTCTAATAAACGATTCACGAGGCCATACTATGACTCACGACCTGGGGCATAATGCACGCGTGTGGCAGATGCACACTGGTAAAACCCAGAAGGTCTGAACTGGGCAGGGCATTTATCTATTGAAACATCGGGATGTGACTCTGTTTGTCTATTTTCCCCTCTGCACATGCATAAGGCTCTAGGCTTGCACATGCTTGAGTAGGAGGTGTGTACACTACATTTGTATGCACATGGATGCATAGGTCATTAAGATCTGGAAAAGCGGGGCCTGACCATAGTGGTACAACAGGAAGAGGCACTTGGTTCTCTTGTTCTCCAGGTGGAATAAAATTTTAGGACGTTGCCAAATAAAAACATGCACTTGTCCCAAATACTGGTGCTTGATTTTTGGAGAAAATGCCACTGTTGATTTAAATGAGATAAGAATCTTCACCTCTTTGTTGAAATAAGAAATCTAGCCAAGCCATAGTCTTTTAGAATTTTTCATCCTGCCTGAGAGAGAAGAGGAAAGTGCTAGCGGCCCCTTCTGGCTAACAGTCACCTTGCCCGTATTTATGCAGTGTGGGAAAACGGATCTATTTACGGGACAGGAGCTCAGAGAGCCTGTCATTTTATAGATTTCTCTTTGAGGGTTATTTTTACATCATGTGGATCCAGCTTTTAAACAACTTGAGCTTAAAAGATCTCTGTGTTCAGATGATATTCCAGAGAACAAATTTATGTTATTGGAGAAGGAAGCTGTCTAACTGTGATGAACGTTCACACTCATCCCAGTGTTGTGGAAGAGAGCAGGGTAGAGGTTCTCATGCATGTCCTCAGCTCAGCATCTTATCTCAGCAGAATCTGTAAGCAAAGTCTGTGAACAGGAAGCAAACTCTCCCCTGGGACTACAGGGCCAACAGCCACATCCCCTAGAGAGAGCCCTGAGATCTTTTCCTTAATTATGAGGAAGCCGTGTAGTAAGCCCACACCTAGCAATTCATTAGTCCATGTTGTAAGCAAAACGTGAGCTGGTAGAGCTCAGTTTCAGTGGCAGGAATGCAGGGAGATATGTGTGGAATCTTATTTAATAGCAGTGATCAGGGTACATGCAGCCTTTGCCCACCAAAGGTGAATTCTGTTCAAACAATTTGGCTGATCGGTTTTCATCAGCATTTACTTATTCTGTGGTCTCAGTAAATCACCGCCCCCACTCTGGCAGCTCCGATATTCAGGGCACCCACGCACACTCAGGGTAAAGCCCGCATCCTCCCTCTGATCCCAGGGCGCTCTTCTGTCCTCCCCATCGCAATGCTAGCTGCTCTCGCTCTGTCCCTCCATAGCTCTGCCCCAGGATGGCCTGCCTTTTCCTCCAGCACAGCGTCGCCCCTCTGACCCCATCCTGGCTGGGTGCCCCTCCTTGGGCCCACCGCATGGCAGCACTTTGCCCAGCGGTTGTGTCATGTCCTCAGATGTGGGCGGAGGATGGAGTGAGGCTTCCCTCTTCCCACGCACCGGCCCCTCCCCTGACCACTGTTCTCTCCCACCCTGCCCCACCCAACCTTGTACCCTCAGAGGAACTTCCTGAAGTGCTCCAAGGACAACCCACTCTTTGCTGACATTGACTGCGAGGTCTTCGAGTCACGCTTTCCCACAACCATGGCCTTGTCTGTGCTGGTGACCATTGAAATGTGCAATGCCCTCAACAGGTGGGCTGGGCAGAGGGTCCTGGAGCTGGGGTTGAGAGATGGGGGATGAGGCCTGAGTGTGGCGGCTGAGAGTCAGTCAGGGCCCAGATTTGGGGTCAGAGATACCCAGGATTGTGGTCTGAGGATCAGGGGGTTTGGGATTAGGACCTAAGTGTCAGAAGGGTCCCAAAGTGGGTTTTGAGAGGAAGTGGGGCCAGAATTGAGATCTAGGGAACAAAGAGGGCCACGACTGGGGCCTGAATAAATAGAGGGGCCAAGAGTGGGTCTGAGGGACAGAGAAGGGGCGTCCAAGCCCTAGGACAGGCCACTAGTGCTGAGCAAGTAACTGTGACACGCCCCTCCTGGCTCCACTGGCCTCCCAGAGCGCTCCAGCCTGTCGGCCCAATTAGGGAAATGCTGAGGCCCAGGCCACACGGGTGGAGGTGCCCACAGCAGGGCCTGTGCTGAGTACTCTGTGCCCTTGGCAGCGTGTCGGAGAACCAGTCGCTGCTGCGGATGCCGCCCTGGCTGAACCCTTGGCTGCTGGCCGCTGTGGCCATGTCCATGGCGCTGCACTTCCTCATCCTATTGGTACCACCCCTGCCCGTGAGTTTCTGCCCTGCCCAGTCCTCTTCTGTGACAGGGTCCAAACCCTCCTGCAACGGTCTGGCCCTGGGTTGGGCACTGGGCCTCTCTGGGCCCTTTTGCTGTGGAAACTGCCTGGCAGCCTGGGAGTGGGGAGATCTGAAAGTGCTTGGTACAAACAGCTTGTGCTTTGGGAACCCTCAGACTTAGGGGACTGAAGAGGTGCAGATAAGGCCTCTTGCTGTGGGGAATCTCCCAAGGCCAGGGCAAGGAGGAGACTATGTTCCTCCCCAGTACAGAATCCCTCCCATTTCTCAAACGGGACCAAGATGATTTGGTCATTGTGAGAGGGCAGGGGAGGGCAGGCTCTTCTGGCAGAGGAACCAGGGTAGACAAAGATCTGGAGGCGGGACCTTGCTCACGAAGAGTCCGTGGTAGCCCAGGTGTATGAAGCAGCTAGATGGTGGGGGCACAGCTTTAACCACAGCTCCCCGCTCCCTAGCTTATTTTCCAGGTGACCCCACTGAGCGGGCGCCAGTGGGTGGTGGTGCTCCAGATATCTCTGCCTGTCATCCTGCTTGATGAAGCCCTCAAGTACCTGTCCCGGAACCACATGGATGGTGAGTGGGGAGCTCCAGACCCTCCCCACCCTGCTTGCCTCTAGCCTGCTTCCCTGCCCACCTCCCTGCCTGCCTCTCTTCCCAGGCTGCAGCCTCCCTGTCTGTACAGAAAAAGCAGTATTCTTGGATCTCCAAGTGGAGGACGAGAAGGGGCTCTGTTCTGGTGGCTGTGGCCTGTGGTACCTGCAGGGCCTTATGCTGCAGGGCCAAGAGCACTGCTCAGAGCCATGTTCCCTCCCTCTCCTCACTCGCCATCAACCCTGCATGGCCAGGCCCACTGTACCCTCCTTTGGGCCTTGGTCTCGGACTTCTCTGAACCCAGCCTGTCTTTATGCAGGCGTGCGCAGGACAGTTTCCCGGGCGTGGAGTGGGCAGCTACTGACCACCTCCGGGACCCTAGACCACACTGGGTTGGCCTCTTTGGTGTCACCTAGTAGGAGGGTGGAAGAGGGGATTCTCAGTTTCTGAGCTCACAGCTCTGGGTCTGCCTTAATCCAGGAAAGGAGGGACAATGGCAGAGGCAGGGTTGAGGGCAGTGTGTAGAGGAGTGGGCTGGGGCATAGCATCCATCTGCCGGCCTCTGCTGCCGGAGGAGCCTCAGAGTGTGGGGGATTCTAAACCTCCCAAGGGCAAGGGAGGCTGCCTCTTCTCCCTGTCAGAGCTGCTTAGAGAGGGAAGAAGTGGGGGCAAAAAACTCCCTGTTCCCGGGAGTGTGAGCCAAGGCAGTAGCCCCATGGCTGGGCTGCTGTGGAGGGTCTGGATTAGGCCCAGCAATGGCCAAAGCCTGCACGGGAGCAGCTGGGTCCTTGAGGGCCATCTCCGGCAGGAATGTGTCCCAGTCTCAGGGGAGGGAGCCTGGAGTTGGGGGGCTATAAATAGATCACGTGCTTGTCATTCCGTAGGGGCCAAGGCAATCAATCGGCTCCTATCTCCCACGCTGGCCAGTCCTCCTGGGCAGTGCAAACATTTTGTCTTATTAAAGAGGCCAAAACAAGTTGGCCTCCTCCCCCTGAAGAAGCTGGCCCACCACGGGTCTGTCCATACCGGACACACACACAGCGGGGCTCACCTGAGGGCGGGGCTAGGTGCTCGGCCACAGCAAGGCCTTGTTGGAGCGTGTGGTTGAGGTAGCAGGGAGCAAGACAAGGCCTTCTGCCCCCTGTATGGTTCTTTCTGACCCACCCACTGTGCTTACTCCTAGGGAGCTGAAGAAGGTGAAATAGATCTAAAATTCCATCCTCGGGAGCCCAGGGCCTCCCCATTTCTGGCTGAAGCACAGGGGTGGTCTACGAGGAAATCCACTGGCCAACCTTGATCACACTAACTCACCTGCGAGGTCAGGCCTCGTTGGCAGCGCGGGCAGCTTCTCTGTCTTCCTTGAGAGCCTTCCCTAGCAGCCACAACAGCCAAGGGGCTCGGCAAATTTTCTTGAGAAAACTTAGAAAATTTCTTAGCCAACGGGGAAAAGCCATCCTGTTAGGGGCACTGTTCAGTCCTGGCTGCTGGATGGTGCCCCTAACAGGATGGGACAGGTTGGAAGGGCTAGGGAGGGAGCAATCCCTGCTGGGCCAGGGTTGGAGGTGAATTCTAGAAGAGGCAAGGTCTGAGCAGAGGTTTGAAAGGGGAGGATGGAACTTGGTGGAGAGAGAGCTAGGCTAGCATGGTTTGCCGTCTCGTGGGGCTGGGGCTCAGAGTGCAGGGGAGAGAGGTAAGGCTAGAGTGCGGAAAGGGCCTCGAATGCCAAGTTAAGGACCCTGGACATTATCCTCATGGCAGTGGGAGCCAGAGAAGGGTGGAAGCATGGAGGGGACTGGGGTAACCATGGAGGACAGATGGGAGGGGCAAGGCGGGGAGGCTGATGAGCTGTGTTGAGCTGGTCTGAGGGGAGACACTGAGTCCAGCCCAGGGTGAGCTGGTTCTGGGCAACACCTCACCTCCACCAGGAACCTGAGATGTTGACTGTGGTCCTGGTGAGGCTTGGCTTGAAAGGGTGGTACCCTGCTGTAGGGAGTGGCTGTGGGGCCCACAGGAAAGACTTGGGCTGGGCATCTGTGGCCACATGGGAGAGGTGGACTGGTGTGTGCCCGCTGCAAGCCAAACAGCTCTGCCCTGTGTGGCTGTAGTCCCTCGGGCCTCCTAAAGCCGGATGGGGCGGGGGTGAGAGAGGGGACCCTGCTACATTCCCAAGCCAGCCTGGTGGCCTTTTAGGGAAGTTTTGCTGAGGCTTGATGCTTGTAGCTTCCCTGTGATTTATGAGGGAATGTGTCCTGGGGAGAATTGCAGATGCCCGGTCAGCCCCAGGGGGTAGGCGAGGGGGTGGGGGTGGGGGTCCTCTTGCCCCATCTCCTGGCTGTACCCAGGTATGGCTGAGCAGCTGTCAGGCAGAGAGGCCAGCGGGCCAGACCGAGGGGAGCGGAGGCCTGGAGAAACTGAGTGGGGACAGATCTGGGAGAGTCCGGGATACGAGGTGGGCTTGCCTTTAGGCTGAAGGCAATGGAGAGCCACCCAAGGGGATGACAGGAAGAGTTGATGCCACCAGTTTCTGGAGAGTTGTTTCCCAAACTGAAAATCAAGAGCAAAATATGCCCCGGGCTGGGCTGGCGTTGTTGATAGAACATGGGGAGTGAAGGAGGCCCGGGGGGCATCTGAGAACTGTGTCTGGCAGCAGCTGGATATGTGGGGCTGCATCAGGAGACACAGTGGAACTGGGGATCCCCTGATGAATGCTGTGGGAGAATGCAGCTGTCCCAGGAGAAATGGAGGATGGAAGGAGCTGGAAGGAACCAGTGTGGATGTGCACTGTCACACATACACCTCTTGGCGTACTCTTGGGTTTTTCTTCCAGAAGAGAAGGACCAGAAGTGAACGCCGGGAACAGGGTGGAGTCTCCAGTGTGTACCTCAGACTGATGATGCCCAGGCCTTCACCCCGACTCTCCACACCGCCATCACACTCATCGCTTGGTCACTGGGCCCTGCCAAGAGTCTCTGTCCCTGCTTCTGTACACATGAGGGCTCTCTAATTCATGTCTCGGGGACTCTCCTGGGAAGTTCAGCTATGAAGCTCTACCCCAGGAGCTGCAGCTTGGGAGGGATCTGCCCAGAAGCCAGGGAGCTGGCAGCACATCCAGACATGCAGAGCCCTCTACCCCCCAAATCCATGAGCACATTCTGGAGCAGGCACCCCCCTTGCTTGGAGGCTGGGCATTTACTTGGTGACTGGTGCCTCTACATTCATGGAGGAACTCTTGCTTAGTGACTGGTCTGGGGCCTGGTCAGACAGGGGGTGAAGTGGGGGAAACATCTGGGCCCAGCTGTGCACAGCAAGGGCAGGTAACCCCCTCCACTTTGTTTCCATAAAACAGAGGAATCATGAGGGCTTGAGCCTCTTACTGTTTGTAGGTACAGGGGGTTGAAGGGTCAGAGAGAGGGACATGGTAGTAGGGGAAGGGGGCTGGGCAAGGATCCCCTTCCCAGGAGACAGCTGGCTTGCCTGCCTTGCTCTGGGTGCCCCCAGATTCAGATTTCCCTGTCCTAAGCAAATGAGACATGCCAAGTCTCTCTCGGTGCTGCCCAGTCTGCCAAGCTCAGGCCGGATTTGCCCTTCATGTCCCTGGGGCCTAAGACCCCAGACATCCGTGTGTACCCGATCACTGTGCCCTTTCAGCCCAACCCTGTGTGCACCATCCCACAGTCTGTGCAGCTGGGTGATTCTGAGTCCCCTAGACTCTTGGCCTCACTCTTTGCCCCCAACCCCACATACCCATGAGCCGAAAGGATGTCAATAAGAATGGCTAGTTACCCAAGGGCACTTCCTCTCCCTCCCTCCTTGCTGGAGGAATGTGTGTTGGATCATGTCGGATGATGGGAAAGGAGTATTTGATGGACATAAATGTTCTTTTAACTCCGCTTTTGCCCCTTTGGCAAAAATTAGGGCTCCAGGTACTGTGGCCTCTTACCCAAGCAGAGTTGGGCAGGGCTCCCCTGGGCACCAGCCCACAGAGATTCTCCGCTTCTTTCCTGCCGGTGGATTGGCAGACCTGGAGGTGGGGGAGGGTGGCAGGGCGCTATACCCATCTGTTGACATGCAGTTGGTAGAGAAATAAAGGTTGAGTGCCTGGGGCAAAAGAGGACGGTCTGTCTGATTTCCTAGAGAGCGGTTCCACCATCTGCCCATGTGGTGTCCACCTGGGCTCCCACCACCCACACCCACTCACGTCAGGAACCTTGAGCCAAGGTCTGCGGTTCCCGCAGGGGTTGCTGTCTTCCTCTGAGACAGGACCCAGGAGAGACACTGATTTCCTGACCCTCTCCCAAATGGCAAATGCATGACTCTGCTCACAGGGACCGCACTTGATAGTTTGTGTACGTGTTCAAAGCCCTTTGCACATGTTAAGATTCCAATGTCATCACTGAGGAAACAGGCTGGCAGGGGTTCATGACTTGGCCTGAGGCAGGGCTAGGCCTGGAGCCTGAATACCATGGGCCTCCAGCCCTGACTATTCCATGGGTCCTGCATCTCTCCCTGAGGTTTCTCGCTCTTTCCTTCCCCTCCTTGAACCCCAGGATGCCATCGACTTCTTGCCCTCCTAAGCCCAGCTCCAGGGCTCCTCCCCAAGGCTTCTCTCAGCTCACGTTGTCCAGGGACCTTTGAGAGGCTGCTTGATACTAACTTCTGACTCACCCAGGTGGCTCTGCTCTCTGGGAGCAGGGGCTCTGTGGAGGGAATAGCTGTGTGTCCCCATCTCCCTCATTTTCTTCCTCTGGAGAGAAGATTCACTCAAGAAGTTTCTGTCTCTAATCCTCTGCCCAGCTGCCCTGGGAAGGGAAATCAGGCCCTGCCCACAGGGCCAGGGACAGGACTGACTATGTAATTTGTGGGGCTCAGTACAAAATGAAAATGTGGAGCCCTTGTTTAAGAATTAGGAGTTTCTGGGGCGCCTGGGTGGCTCAGTTGGTTAAGCGACTGCCTTTGGCTCAGGTCGTGATCCTGGAGTCCCGGGATCGAGTCCCGCATCAGGCTCCCTGCTCAGCGGGGAGTCTGCTTCTCCCTCTGACTCTCCCCCCTCTCATGCTCTCTCTATCTCATTCTCTCTCAAATAAATAAATAAAATCTTTAAAAAAAAAAGAATTAGGAGTTTCAAAGCAGCGACAGCAGAGTATGAAAACGAAATGGAGGGCCTTTCTGGGCATGGGGTTCTGTGCAGCTGCATGGGTCACACATCCATGAAGCCAGCCATGACTGGAAGAGACACAACCCACCCTTAGGAGCTCCCGGGTTTTATTTCGGGGAAGGGCAAGATTTGGTGCATAGTTCACAGTGGGAGCCAAGGACGGGCAGAAGGATTCTTCCTTCTGCATGGTCCATCAGTTAGACCTCTCAGATCCCAAAACCATTCTGTACGCCTCAGCTCCCTGGGTGCCCAACCGGCTCCTTGAGATGGGCCAGGCAGGGGTTAGGGCTCCATTTTACAGATGAAGACCCCAAAGCTCTTGGAAAGCCTGACTGTCTAGCTGGCTTCATCATGGCAGACAGACAGAACATGGAGCTAAGACGGGCATGGAGGGCTTGACGAGGAGACAGGCCAGCTTCAGTACTCCCATCAGACGGGCATGGAGGGCTCCATCAGCTGCTGGAGCTCATGGCCCGGCCTGCATAAGTCCAGCCCTGCCAGCCCACAGCATGGAGCCTGACAGGTCAAGATGGAGCAGCCAAGGGAAACAGAGGTTTCCTACCTCACAGCCACTCACCCCAGAGGGAATTCCAGGGCAAGCCCCGGCACACTTCTCCCTGGCTCAGGGATGGCCACTGCCAAAATGCCCAAGGCCTCACCCTGCCCCCTCCATTGGCCCAGGTTGTGCTCCCCAGGCCTCCCACACTGTACCCCACAGAGGGGTAGGAGAGACGGGGAGAAATGGAAGGGCAAACTCAGGAAATGAAGACCTAATGCCCACACAAAGAACTGAAGCCAACAGTCCATGGCAGCTTTACTCATCATAGCCTCAAACTGGAAGCAACCCAAATAACCATCAACAAGGGACGGACAACAGGCTGTGGTTTGTCCATACAACAGAATGCTCCCCAGCCATAAAAAGGAGCAGACTACTCATATATGCAACAACATGGATGAAGCTTAAACCCTTGTGCTGAGTAAAAGAAGCTCGTATTGTGCAGTTCCACCTCCATGAAGTTCTAGAAAAGGCAAAACAGATCAGTGATTGCCTGGGGCTAGGGTTGGGGAGGGTTGCCAGCAAAAGAGCAGGTTGGGGACATTCTAGGGTGACAGATGATGGGGGGGTTGCATGCATTTGTCAAAACTCATCAAACTGTGTGCCTAAAATGGTATGTCAATTATACCTCAATACAGTTTGATTTAGAAGAAAAGAAAGGTAGGAGCCAGAGGAGGTGGGTGGGCATGTGGCTACCATGTGGGTGTAGAGGTTTCAGCAGCATCAGGAGGCAAGGAGACTAGCCTCCCAAGGGGTACTCAGAGTTTGAGGGGCAGGGACCTAGGTCAGCCCCAAGGAGTCCCACATTCCAGGGGCAGGAAGAGGATGGGGACCAAGAGGAAATGTCCCAAAAGGATGGAGGAGAACCAGGGGGTTGTGATACCTCGGATGCTAGGGAGAAAGAGCTCATCATTGGGGTGGGGTGGTTAGAAGAGGCCAGAGGAGCAGTGCAAGGTCTGGGCAAGGGGAGAAACCAACCCTGAGGACCCCTGCTGTGGCTTCCCTATGGATGCTGCCCCCACAACCTCCCTTTGACAATCTCTGTTAGGCTGGCCCAGATTCTAGCCAGGATCTAAGGGGCTGAGTGGCATTGAGGGAGCCCTGGGACACTGACAGACCCAGGGTAGGGGACTGGACTGAACTCGGCAAGCAGAGGTGTCATCCCTGCAACCTTGGGACACTGAATGGCTAAGGAGACCTCTTGGAGTCTGTGCCAACCCCCTTGAGGGCCTGGGCTGGCCTCCAGGATGGACACAGGCCCCCTCCACACTCCACAGAACTGCTAAATTTAGCCAGGCAGAGGAGGTTGTCCTGGGGCTGAGGGCTTGGCAGCACTGCCTTGTCTCCCTACAAGGTCTGGCCCAACGCCGGAGCTGGCCACTCGGCCTTTGGGCTTATAAGGCAGGTCTGGCAGCTCTCAAGTGCTGGAGTCTTGGGGTGGGCTCTGGGCCAGTCCCTCAGGCTTTGGGGAGCCTCCTCTCCAGCCGCTAGACGTGGGAGCTACTTGGGCAAGGCACTCAATTTCTAGAGCCTCAGTTTCCCTATCTGTAAAATGGGGGTTCCAGTACCTACCTCATGGGGCTGTTTAAAAAAAAATCTGTTGTAACGTAACAATAAAAAAATTAAAAAAAAAAAAATTTCCTGAATGTGAAAGCACTGTGTCCCCTGTAAACTCTGACCCCTGCCCTGCCCATCTCTGCCCCCCACTCCACAATGCCTAGAGCAATCACAGGTGTCTGTTCCTGGGGATGCTGTAGTTGGGGCAAGGCGGGAAAGCATAGACCTAGATGGAAAGATGCATTTTATTTATTTATTTATTTATTTATTTATTTATTTATTTATTTATTTGGAAAGATGCATTTGAGAGCCAGTGAAAGAGGCATTAGTCCTATCAACTGTCTGTCTTACTCTGGCAAAATTATTAGCAAAAAAGATTTGTAATTGGGAAGATAAATGTAATTGCTTTTATTTCTTTTTATTTTGGGCATGCTTTGGATATGACAACCCCAAATGAGATAGTCCCCCATGACAGTCTGTTTTCTAAGTGTCAGGGTCAGAACTGAGGCTGTAACAGGAGCACAGGCGTGTGCTCCTGGCAAGGGTGTCTGAGTAGCTAAGGAGACCCATCGGAGCCTTGTGCCGAACCCCTTGAGGACCTGGGCTGGCCTTCAGGATGGGCATAGGCCCCCTCTGCACTCCACTGGCTGCTAAATTTAGCCAGGCAAAGGACGCCATCTGTCCATTAGTCCCTCTGTCTGTCAGCAAGGCTGGCTCCTTGGAGATGGGGAGAGGGAGTGAGGAGGAGGTAGTGGAGGTCATGGTGATGGTAGGAAAAGGGCAGGTGCAGCTTAGAGACTGCCTGACTTCTTTCCCTCTCCTTCCTCCTCTCTCCCCACTTCACCTGGTGCCTGCTACCCTCCTGAATGTCCAGGGATCATGGGTGGAGTGGGGCACAAAGATGGCTCCTGTAGAGTGTCAGCATCCACCCCCACTCTCGATTGCAAGCAATTCATGTCCTGGGACCTGCTATTCCAAGAACCATGGGATCACCTGGGAAGGGAATAGGCCCTTTGGTCTGGGATCAGGACCAGGCCAAGGAGACATGATACCCACAGGTCTGGCTCCCAGCATCTCTGGATTTTTTTTCCTTAGAAAAGCCCAGGACATGGTTCTGACCTGCCCCTCTGGAAGGTGGTGTTGGACAGACAGTTGAGCCTGAGATTGGTGAGAATGATCTGTTTGAGAGGGGGGAACTGGCCTAGGGTGCTGGAAGGGGCCATGGGCCTGCCCTCTGTGGGGGCCCTTGCTGCCCAGAAAGCACCTCTACTCGGACAGGCAGCTGGGATTTCCAGCCCTGGAAGCCTGGCTCCCTGCCTAGAGCAATTGCCCAGCTAAAGGCCTGCCAGGAAGAAGACTCCTATCAGCCTTCAGAGTGAGGCACCTTGGACTGCAGGGGAGTTCCCCACACCCCGGGGGGAAACCCAGCCTCCATCTCCCATCTCCAGAGGAAGCCCCAAGGACACCTGGCCTGGGTTGAGGGCCAGCCAGGGAGGCCTTCCTGCTTCAAGCTGAGGCCTCCAGTATAGCCCAGGGTGAGCTTGGGCAATTCATTTCTCCTCTCTGAGTTCATTTCTTCATCTGCAAAACAAGGCATTGGGTCAGGGGAGGCCTCCAGCTCTAGGGCCCCAAAAGCAAACATGAGACCTCTGCCCCATCCCCATTCCCCTGGGGCCCTTGCATTCAGGCCCTGGGTTGTGGTTGAAGACAGGGGCTGCAGAGGGTCTGTACCTTAAGATCAATAGTGGCCTCAGGTTTTTGTCCTCAGTGTTGTTGGGACCCATCCCCCTGGGGCCTCTACCTATGAGGGAAATCCCATTATCATCCCCATTTCACAGATGAGGATGCACGCTCAGGCTGGTGAGGCAAATTACCCCAGCCCTCACAGGCAGCTAGTAGCAGAGCCAAGGATATCAATTGAGGCTGTCTGATGTCGGGCTTTCCCAGCTTTGTCTCAGGAGCCCTGGGGCAGTGTGCAACAGATGGGGCCCTTGAATCTTCCGGGCACTTGCCTCCCTCTGCTTGTTTTTGGGAGGTGGAGGTGTGGCTGGGACAGGACAAACGATGGGAGAGGAGAGGTGAACTATAGAGATGCCAGCCTGGTGCTAAGGTTGACTGGGCACAGGCCAGGCTTGGACTCCGAGGGACAGGTGGATGGAAGCTGGTCTATAAGGACAGAAGTGGGGGTCCTGCTGCAGGCTCTGAAAGTATCAGATAGCTGACACTTCCAGAAATGGCCCTGCTTCCTCTTCTGCTCTCCTGGCCACAACCCCCGCAGGGACTGAGCTTCACACCTGGGGGCACAGGTAGAGTGGGGAGGATGTTTGGATATGGGAATGGGTCCCTGGTTTGGGGAAGGCTTCAGCCTGAGGCCACTCCACCCAAGCCCTGGCCCTGTTCTGTTCCGCTAGGTTCATGGGGGAGCTGAAATCTTTATCTTTGCCTTATGACGGGTGGCCTGTGGTTTCCTGCCAACAGCTCCTGTTTCCGGAGGCTCAGCAGGGCCCAGGCGGAGCCAGAAGGAGCCGTGGGGCTGGGCCTGGGTGGCCCCACCAGCCCCGCCCCCATCTATCTTTGGGAATTTATTTGTCCATAGGCGCGGCTGGCCCACAGTCCATTGCCTGCCAGGGGCCAAGAGCTGCTCTGACTACCCAAGGACTCTATTTTTCAACCCAAGTGCCTTCAACTGACCCCTGACTCCTGACCTCTGGCCCCAGCTGCCCTGCCCTGCCCTGCCCTTCCTAAGGGGCCGGGAAGCCCCTAGAAGCTTCACTGTAGACGTGGGCATTGACACCTGGCTCCCCTCAAGAGCAAAGTCTGTGCAAGGGGCTCGGTTCTCAGGCCCCAGCCTGGCCCACCATGGCACAGCGGCTCCAGGATGAACTGGCTGCTTTCTTCTTTGAGTATGACACTCCCCGAATGGTGCTCGTGCGCAACAAGAAGGTGGGCGTCGTCTTCCGCCTGATCCAGCTTGTGGTTCTTGTCTACGTCATTGGGTGAGTCTGGGCCCCCTACCTGCCAACCTCTTGCACCAGCTTCCAACCTGGGCCTTTCCTCCAGGCTTTGGGATGCCCCCATGACCCCAAGGAGCCCCCTTTCTCTCCATCGGTTGTCACCCTCCCTAACAAACTGTAGTGCTATTCAGAAGGAATGGAAGCCTGCTAATTCACTGTCAAGATGGGGACATTGAGGTAGAGGGGAAGTCCTGCCCTGGGTCATAAGGTGAACAAGAGGAAAAGACGTTGGGTTCTAAGGAACTGACTCACTGTTAACGGTCTCTTAAGTGGTGAGTGGTGCTGGATGGAGGCCAGGGCCCCAGCAAACCACAACCAAAGTCCTTCTACTTCCGACCTCCTAGCCAAGCCAGGCCACTACTAAGAGACAGAGGCCACGCCCCATTTTACAAGCCAAAGAGGGACAGGCCCTGTTCCCACCTGCCCTGCCTAAATTAGAGGCATCCTGAGATATTTGAAAGCCCCAGAGCAAAGAAATTTTCAAATTCAGAGCACCTGGCACCTTAATGATGGCATGTCAGGTGGCATGGAGGTCAGTTCAGGTCCCAGGGATGACTGCTCCTTTCTAGGCATCTTGAGACCTGTCCCACTGTCCCAGGAGTGCAGAGGCAGAAGTAAGGTGGTACTCCCCTGAAGTCTTGCCGTCCTGGGAGCCAAGACGGGCCTGGCGGTGGCTTACACATATGCTTGTGTGAGCACACATGTGCGTATGTGGTGTGTGTGCACATGGGTGTCGTACCTAGAGCTCTGTGTGGATGCACGTGTTCTCCTGTGTCTGGGCATGTGCCTACTGGGGGTGGCTGTGGGCTGTGTCCCCGTGGCTGGGGATCCACACGTGCATGTCGTGTGACTGAGGTGGCTGGCCACCTGATGTGTGTGCCCCAGGGGGGTGGGGGGTAATCATATCCACTCAGAGTGATACTGCAGAGGGCTCTTGGAGGCCCCAGGGCCAATGAAGGAGTTTCAGCTCTTGCTGAGGGGGCTTGGGGATGCCCGGCAGAATCCCTTTGCTGTGTGATTGTGAGGGCCCTGCCCCTCTGGTCTCCATGTCCCCGTTTTTGCTGAGGGACCAAACGAGGACTGCTGACTAGAGCCCAGGGTGGGCTGACTAGGAGACCAAACAGTGACCATATCGCTCTGGTCCCTCCAGGGCCTCTGATATCCAAAACAGCCTTCCCTCTACTCCATCTGGGGGGAGGTGGAGTCAAAGGTGGAGGTCGGGTCGAGTCAACGTGGAGTCAGGTGGAGTCGAAGCCAGGACCTAGCCCTGTGACACCTTTCAGCCTCTGCCTCCCTCCTGTTCACGGACCAATCTGACATCTGCAAATGTCATTTGAGCTTGTGAGGAAAACTGACTAGTGGAACTTCCAGGTCACACAGCAAGTCCCAGCTAGAGCTGAGGTCTCTTGACCCCCAGGCCTCAGCAGTGCCTTCTCCTTTCCCACCTCACAAGGGCTCTGAGAAAGTTGTGATGGGGCCCTGATGCTGTGATGCCAGGCACAAGATGGACCTAAAAGCTCACCATTAGCTGCCCTCCTGACCTTCCAGGGAAAAGAGAGATTGGCTGCCCAGGCCTAGGCCATCCTTCACCAGAAGAGGCTGGGAGAATGTCGTCCTCACTGTGGCCCCTACTGCTCCTTATTTCTGCTTTCAGGTCAGCAGTGGGAGCAGCACCAGGGCCCTCTTGTGTGTTGGTCACAGGCTGTCAGAGGGGAAGCGACACTCCTCCCACCCCACTCCCGGCTGTACCATACGCTGCAAGCCAACATCCCGTCCTGAGCACATAGCTGCGGTGACAGAGACTTGTCTACCTCCCTCCTTGCTTTCCGCCCTCCCAAGGACAGCCTGCTCAGTTTCCAAATGCACGTGGCCTCCTGGGTGTTGGTGAGGCTCAGAGACACTGGGTGATTTAGTTGGCATCTCCCAACCCCGAAAGAGGACGAACCAGATTTGAACCCAGCTGCATGGCTCCAAAGCTGGCCTTGATATGCTGGGGAGGGAACATCCCGAGGGGGGGGCACTGCCGTGCCCAAGTCATACAGCAGCGAGGGGAAGGCGGTGTCCCCCACAACCCCCGCCGCAAGCCCAGACCTCCTATTCCGACCGCAACTTCTGCTGCCTCCAGCACCCGCGTCTGGCCACGCCCACTGCTTTGCCGACCGCTCACCTGCAGGCGGCAACCGGCCTGGCTTTGCTCTTACTCTCTCAGGTTTTAGTGTCCCAACTGTTCTACGGAGCAAGGGTGGGGGATCCCTCTAGAGATGTCGTGCGCAGGCTCCTTTCGGAGGAGGGACGCCTTTCTTTTTTTTTTTTTTAATTTTTTTATTCTTAGGTTAATCCCCATACATTACATCATTAGTTTTAGATGAAGTGTTCCATGATTCATTGTTTGTGCACAACACCCACTGCTCCATGCAGAACGTGCCCTCCTCAATACCCATCACCAGGCTAACGCATCCTCCCACCCCCCTCCCCTCTAGAACCCTCAGTTTGTTGTTCAGAGTCCATCGTCTCTCATGGTTCGTCCGCCCCTCCGATTTCCCCCGCTTCATTCTTCCCCTCCTGCTACCTTCTTCTTCGTCTTTTTTTTTTTTTTCTTAACATAGATTGCGTTATTTGTTTCAGAGGTACAGATCTGAGATTGAACAGTCTTGCACAACTCACAGCGCTTGCCAGAGCACATACCCTCCCCAGTGTCTATCACCCAGTCACCCCATCCCTCCCACACCACCCCCCACTCCAGCAACCCTCAGCTTGTTTCCTGAGGGACGCCTTTCTTGAATTAGCCCTCTTCCCAAGGCCCCTGTCTGTCTGAATGTCTGCTCCTGTGGGTGCTGCAGGGCACAAAGGGGACCATGGGAGAAGAGCCAGACTCCCACATTCCAGAGACAGAGGCACAACCAAATGGGGGATGGGCAGACACAAAGACAGAACCAGACAGAGGGACGTTGGAGCGCAGCCACTCAGATGAAGAGAGCGGTCCTGAGGCTGAGAGATGGTGAATTACTAAGACAGAGGCAGAGAGGCTGAGATGTTGAAAACCCAAACAGACTCTGAGGAGGCAAACTGAGGTTGTGTTCTCTATCAGCCACACTCTTCTGAGAAGTCCATGGCAAATGGATTGAGCAAGTGGGTCTGAGGCCCTGGTGGGCTGAGCTAAGATCTCACTCTTTTTGTCTTAAATTAAAATGGTTAATTTGCAGTTAGAACTGTCTCCTGGGAGGTGATGAGCTCTCTGTAACTCAGTACACAGGCAGTGGGCTGTCATCCATGACCTAGCAGGCCCAAACAAGGAGTGTACTGGGATACGTCCCTGCCTGGAGGCTCTGGTTTGGAGAGGACAGAGGTTTGGCTGTGGTACACAAGAGGGTCCCAGTGAGATCTGTGAATGCTGCTTGGTAAGTGGAGCCTGGGAAGGCTTCCTGGAAGAGATGAAAGAGTGGTGGAACCAGCCTTGAGCAAAAAAGCCTAGGGGCTATAAGCCAGGCAAGCCTGCTCTTGGCTTTCCCTTTGCGTGTCCCCCACCCCCCCCCACGCCATCTACCTCACACAGAGCTCTTGAGAAGTTCACTTGCTTCTGAGATTTTCAAATGGATCCTGGAACATACCAATCAGGCATAAGGATAGACAAATTTTTGCTGGGGAAAATGCATCCAGGGACATTTCTACAGCATCTTCTCTGTGCCTTTTGCTGTGCTGGGAGCCATAGGACAGAGGTGGGGTACAGGGTGAGCAAAGGAAAAGTAAGGAGTGGAGGATGAGTTAACCAGGACTCCTTTGATTCCTAGAGAAGAGTGGGGCTATTGAGTGGTTTATGTAACTGGAAAAAAAAAAAAAAATCAATGCAGGCTTCATGGAAGCTGGATCCCCCACGAGGAGGGTACGGGAAGAACAAGTTCTACAGGGAGATGGGGAGTTCAGGTTGGTCCCATTTGGGTTCTCCAAAGAAGCTAGCCAGGATTTTCTCCTCTTCCCAGCTCTGCTATCCTCTGGGCTTCATTCTTAGGCAGACTCTCTCTGTCCTCATAGTGGCAAAACGGCCACCAGCAGCTCCAGCCTGACATCTCACCAGCTTAGCCATCACTAGGGCATAAGACTGTCTCCTTTTCCAGAGTTCCAGCAAAAGTCCCAGATCCAACTCTTACTGGCAGGGGTCATGTCAAGTGCCTACCGCAAAACCAACTGTTGTGGCCAAGAAAATGAAAAACCATGGTTGGTAGAGTCTCGTTGTGTGCCTACCTGGTCCAAGCACTCCTGCTGGAAAGCAGAGTATGATCAAAGGCCCTGGGGCAGGAAAGAAACAGCAAAAGAGTCACTAAGGTTAGGCTGTGGAGCATGAAAGGACCCAGGGGAAAGGAAGTGGAGGGGTGAGCACAGCCACCGATTCAGGCCTCTGAATGCCAGGCTGGGCAACATGGGCTTTCTCCTATAGGTCGTGGGGAGCCATAGAAGGATGTCTAGCAGGGGAAGGCCCAGGGCAGGCAGGGGATGGGGTGGGGGTGGAGGCCAGAGGCAGGGCACTGTGAAGAGGCAGCAGTGATAAGAACAGAGGAGGAGGCCATGCCAAGGCAGAAGCAGTGAGCATGGAAGACAGGAGTAGTCATCCTGGTGGGCCCCACACCAGGGAGATGTGTGTGGAGGGGGTGCCCACTGCTTGGTTTTTGGTCATCACTGCGGCAGGCCATGGGCCCAGCACAGCCCAAGTTTTTGACTTCTCAAGAGCAGTGAGAAATTGGAATTTTTAAGCAAAGGAACCTCTGGATATTTAGAGGTTGGTGACTCATTAAAAAAATTTTTAAACACAAATCGTCAGCCTAACTGATCTGCAGACAACATGTAGCTTAACCTCTAAACACTCAGCGCGGGCCCCAGCTCTAAACTCAGTCCCTCCCGGGCTTGGAGTCTGGTCTTGCCCTCCCTGAGGCTGCTGTGCTCTATAGCATCCACCTGGCCTGCTCTGCTCCTGCCCGTGGTTGTACCTTGTGCCCCCACCAGCCACAACACGTCGTGCCATCCCCATGCCGGGGTTCCCCTGGTGTCTGTCCCGGCTCCTCTCACATCTCAGCCTCCCCCAGCAAAATCCCTTTGGGTCCTTAGAGGAATGCCAGGAGGACAGAGGGACCCAAAGGACGTGCGCATAATGGAGAATGAGGGTATGAAGATGATGCCCAGGCTTTGAGGAGGATGGGGTAGGTATGGTGCCACCCTCTAAGATGAGGGCACAAAGGGGCAAGTTCTGTGGGGGACATGAGGCATTCAGTTGGTCCCACTGAATTTTTGTTTTGAGATATTAGTCAAATGCCGTAACATTCACCCTTTGAGAACGTACAATTCAGTGGTTTTTCGTATAATCACAAAGTTGTGCCACCATCACCACTATCTAGTCTACAACACGTTCACTACTCCAGGACGAAACTCTGTACTCCTTAGCAATAACCCCCCATTCTTTCTCTCTACAGCCTACTTTGCCTACTCTGGACATTTCATAGAAATAAAATCATATGCGGCCTTTTGTGCCTGGCTTCTTTCACTTAGCATAATATTCGAAAGGTTCATCTGTGTTGGTTATAACATGTATCAGCCGTTCATTCCTTTTTATGGCTGAATACTATTTCACTGTATGGATATGTCACATTTGATTTACCCATTCATGGTTGATAGTCATTTGGGTTGTTTCCACTTTTGCTTCTTATGTATAATGTTGCTGTGAACACTCGTGTACAAGTTTTTGTGAGGGCATATTTTCAGTTCTGTTGGGTATATAACTAGGAGTGGAATTGCTGAGTCAAGTGGTAAGTCCGTATTTAACCTTTTGAGGAATTGCCAGGTTGTTTTGCAAGGGTTTGGGTTGAGTTTGAGGTACCTGTGTGATGTCTGGGACAAGGGACCAGGGGAAGGAGAAGGAATGGGTGTCACAAAGTGCTGGGTCATATAGACATGTATGTAAGATTCTTGAGTGCAGAATTTTGGTTGGCTTTGTTCACTCCTGTATTTTTAGTGCCTAGAACACTGCTTGGCACGTAATAAGGGCTCAATCAATAAATGTTTGTTGAATCGCTAAATGAATGTGTGGAATTAGATCTCCAGGGAGAGTACAGAAGTGGAGATAAAAATCTGGGGACATGATGTATCTGTGACAGCTTACATGAGGTTCTGCCTGGGCTGGGGATAGAAGCCAGGGCGATGGGGGCAGTTGGACATATAAAGAGGAATTACTGACACAAGACAGTGAAAATCAGAGGATTATTTATTATGCGCCTACTGCATGCTAATTTCCTTAATGAGAACGCATGGGGAATCCCCTAGTCACCTAGACCTGCTTTCTTCCTGGGGCCCAGCCCACAGTTCAGTACGGGGGGGTGGGGGGGGCGGGGACTTGCTCCTATTTGTTGAATGAACAGCAGTGTTTTTGAGGTAAGTGCCATCACATCTGTTTTACTGAGAAAGCCAGCACTCAGAGGTGAGGCTGAAGTCACACAGCTGGTGGGTGGCTGTGCTGATACCTGAATCCTGGCTTCTGTTACCCTTTGGGGGCCACACTCTTGGCCACTCCACTATGTGGAGGGGTTCAGAACATGGAGCAGCTCCCCATCACCCCCAAAAGCTCCTCTGAGCTTGGGCATGGAGTCAGGATCCTCCCTGGAGGAAGGAGGCTGAGGAGGGCACGGGTAGGTGATACTCCCAGTCCCCCTGATAAAGGCTGGGAGTGCAAGGACTGGAGCTTTTGACATGTCCCGCCTAGTGCCATCTGGGACCTGCAGGGGGCAGCAGTGACCATGCTTAGGCTTGGGAGGGGGCTCCTCCTGGGCCAGGCTGAGGGGGGGGCCTGGGGAAGATGAAGTGGGGACCATGGGAGGGGAGAGGAAGACCTGGGTGGGCTGACTTCCTGGGGCCTGGGGTAGGGAGACCGCCCCCAGAGAGCTAGCACTGACTCTGGGACAGATGCGCGGAGAATTGCGGCGAGTCCTGAGCTCTGGGACACAGGAGAGGGACTTCGAGCTCTGCTTGGCCAGTCAGACAGAGCCACAGGTGAGCTCACAGATTTCCCCCAGAGATACACAGCTACACACTCTGATGGGTACCACAAGTGGACACACACACTCAAACACAGAGTTACACTGACTCTCCATGCAGTCTTTCCTGAAGGAAATGGACTATACCCAGGACTCTCAGTTGTAAGCAACAGAAACGAAACCCAAACTGGCTTAAATAAAGAAAGGGGGGAAAAAAGGAGGGGCGGGGGAAGAAAGGGAATTTATTAGCTCATGTAACAGAAAAGTCCAGAAGTAGATTTTTTTTTTTTTAAAGATTTTATTTATTTATTTGAGAGAGAGAGAATGAGAGACAGAGAACACATGAGAGGGGATAGGGTCAGAGGACGAAGCAGACTCCCTGCCAAGCAGGGAGCCCGATGCGGGACTCGATCCAGGGACTCCAGGATCATGACCTGAGCCGAAGGCAGTCGCTCAACCAACTGAGCCACCCAGGCGCCCCCAGAAGTAGATTTTTTTACATGCTTCAGGCATGGCTAGATCCAGGTGCTCAACCATTGTCAGGAGGCTGCCCTCTTCCATCTCCTTACCTAACTTTCCTCTAAATTGGCTTCATTCTCAGACTTACTCTCTGTGAGGTCGCAAGATGACTAACCATAGTTTTGGTTTTATAGCTACCTTCCTTAGCTATCTAACAGAAGGGATGTCTCTTTCCCGGTAATGCCCAGAAAAATCCTAGCCTCCTTGCTGAAACTCCCCAGGTTGTGTGTCCATCTTTAGACCTATCACTGTTGCTAGGGCAATGGAACATTGATTGGCAAGCCTTGGTCATGTGCCCCACCCTCCCTACACCCAAGGCTTGGAAGGGGGTCAATTTCACTGACCCTCCCAGACAGAAAGTGGAGAACTCAAAGGAACAGGGGTTCTTCATGCTAGGAAGGAAAGGCCAGGATTTCCCAAGAAAGCTGAGAGGCCTCCAGCCTGAGTCACTCCACAAGGGCCTCAACTGGGGCCACACAATACAAGCCCTTCAGAGGGCCACTGCCCCCTCTGTTTCCCTTCCAGTCCCCTTGCCAGGAGCTCCCAGCATGGCGGAGATAATCATAGCTAATATCTATGTAGTGCTTACTGCATGCCAGTCCCCCTTCTAAGTGATGAACATGCAGTAAGTCACAGCGAGTACAATTAGTGCTATTATTGTTATTCTCATTTTACAGATGAGGAAACTGAAGCAGAGAGGACTGAATAGCTTAGTGTAGCTGGGATTCCAATCCATCCTCTTGGGCACCAAAGGCCAGGTTCTCAGCCATCATGTTCTGCTAGTTCTCAGTGGAAGAACCTCAGGAAGGAAGGAGCGCTCTGAGCATGAAGATTATGGTCCAAGAAGCTTGGCCTCTAGGCCCCAGCAAATCCTGCTCTTGGAAAAGGATCTGAAAGAGTCCTTCAGTGGATCTCCTCTCTGGGAATTAGTATTTTCCTAGTAAAAAGAAGGGTGGGACTTCAGGTACAGGCCAGCTCCGGGAAGCTGGTGAGGCTCCCCTGCCCCCGCCCAAGATGTAGCATTAGGAGCATGATGCATCTGGAGAGGGGAAGGGAAAGTATTTGACATGTCTGGCTGGTGCCAGAAAGGGCAGCAGCCGACATAGCCTCATGCCATCTTTGAATGGCCTGGCCCAGTTCTGACTCCTTTAACCCCCAAAACACCCCACAGGTGGGTGTTTGTCTACGAGAAGGGCTATCAGACCTCAAGTGGCCTCATCAGCAGCGTGTCTGTGAAACTCAAGGGTCTGGCCGTGACGCAGCTCCCAGACCTGGGCCCGCAGGTCTGGGATGTAGCTGACTACGTCTTCCCAGCCCAGGTGAGCTGACTCAGGGGTACACCTTCTACCCAGAGGGCCTGGCTCAGAGTGGGGTCTGGGCTCTGTCCAATCTCCCTATTGGACTGGTCCAGCTCCTATCTCCCCCTGGGCTTCAGCTTCCCTAACTGTGAATGAGGGGCAAAAGCAGGTTGTAATATCATCCCATTCTGACATCGTGGGGTATGGAGGCTGCTGGGTGTCACGTGGATTCTGGGGGCTCGTTGGGGCAGTGCTTGTGTTCTCGGGGCTGTTCTCCCAACTCAGAACCCTGCCCTGCCCTCCCCTACTCCTCATCTCCAGGGGGACAACTCCTTCGTGATCATGACCAATTTCATTGTGACCCCCTACCAGGCTCAAGGCTACTGTGCAGAGGTGAGGACTGCTACCCATCCCCTCTCCCCACTTCCTGGATCCACAAGGGAAAAGAAATGGAAGAGGAAGTCCCCTTGGGCATTGAAGATAGGCTTCCTCAAGGGGAAACAATGGGGGAATCTTACGCACAGATTCACACAAAGTAACAGTCTGCTCTTGGCCGTGCTGAGGTTTCCCTCCCAGCTGTGTGTCAAGCAAGATGCTGAGCTTCGGTGCTCACCCAACCCCCAAGCCCTAACGTCTCTGCTCCCTGCCTGGTGACCCTGGCAAGAGCACAGCTGGGCATGAGCCCAGAGGGGTCCTGGGAGGGGACTGGGGGAAGGAAGCCGTAAGCAAAGGTCACCCCAAAGCTGTCTAAGACTGCCTCACGACTTCCCTAGGGCCCTGGGGGTGGGAGGGGCTCTCCTTAGGACACTACCCAAGGGGCGTGGAATCAGCTGCTCTCCCTTCCCCCAGCACCCAGAAGGGGGTACATGCACAGATGACCGTGGCTGCACTCCAGGGAAGGCAGAAAGGAAGGCTCAAGGTAAGGTCGGCCTCCTCCCATCCCCCCCGCACAGCCCTAGTTCAGCTCCAGGCTTCTTCCACCAGGAAGTCCTTCCTGCCATCCTAGCCTTGGCCTGCCCTGTCCCAGACCCAGCCACATTTCTGTCCTCAGGCTTCTGCTCTTGGGTGTCCCATCACTGGGGGCTCTTGGGGATGTGGGGCCTCTTCTCTATCCCCAGCTTGGAGTGGGCACCCACGGGCTCCTCCCTTGCTCCAGGCATCCGCACAGGCAAGTGTGTGGCCTTCAACGACACTGTGCAGACATGTGAGATCTTTGGCTGGTGTCCTGTGGAGGTGGATGACAATGTCCCACGGTAACGCTTTATCCATCCAGGGAGCCGGGAGCAGGTTCCCCAGCCCAGACAAAGGGGCATCTGGATCCATGTTCTGGAAAGGATCTGTCCTCCCTTCTTCCAACCCCACCCTTACGCCATCTGTATGGCCCAAGCCAATGATCCCCTGGCCCCTGGTTAAGGGGCCCAAGAGTCCATCATCACAGCACACCCATCCCACCCCCCCACCCCCCGCATACCAGGGCCACAGGAAGATCCCATAGGTTCTCACACCCCCACACCCATGACAAACGCTGCTGGGCACATGGGGGACACCTGAGGAGGGGACGGTAAGTGAGTACAGTCTCCTCCAGTCCTGCCCTTCTCCAAGAGGCCGAGAACTTCACTCTCTTCATCAAGAACAGTATCAGCTTTCCACGCTTCAAGGTCAACAGGTTTGTGGGAAAAGGGGGCAGAAATGCAGGACCCCCCCCCCCCCCGAAGTCTGCTCTAGCTGGTCTCAACTGTCTCTGTCACCTTCCATTCCTGCTGATTTCACTTTGGAGGCAGAAGCCTGAGCTGGGCTCCTGGGGTGGGCTGCCTTTAGTCTCCAAGGGCTGTGGAAGGGGGGTTTATGGAGCTTCTGAGGGATCCCCATAGCTTTGGGGTGTGGTGGGCACCCTCCCAGCTGGCCTTCTGCTGCCACCTGTGCCCTCCACCCCCATGTAGGCGCAACCTGGTGGAAGAGGTGGATGCGGCCTACATGAGGACCTGCCTCTATCACAAGATCTTGCACCCGCTGTGCCCTGTGTTCAAGCTGGGCTATGTGGTCCAAGAGTCAGGACAGAATTTTAGCACCCTGGCTGAGAAGGTATGGTGCCAGGCAAATGAGGAGGGCTGGGTCCTGGAACCAGCAGGTCAAAGAAGGCTTTTCAATCCCAGATAACGCCCCCCTCAAGCCTCTCTGGTATGGGCTGAGTATATATATGGATTTATTCCCTAATGCTGAGGGCTCCTGAAGCTCAGGCCTGAGTCCTCAGCAGGGCCTGGTATGGACCTGACACAGAGCAGGTGCCCAGAATGAATGGACATGGGCAGACATTTTCACCTGGATGTTTGCTGAGGTCACACTGTTTTTTAAATATTGGATAAAAGCAGCTTGAATTCCATGCCCTATGGCCCCGAGAAGTCCTGTGCCCTGCTCAGGAATCCTGAGAATTCCAGAATCTGGGATTTGTCCAGTCACCTGGGGTTCTAAGAGAAGCAGTACCTTGTAAGGAGCACAAACCTGTCTGACTGGGTTCGAATCCTGGCTCTGCCCCAATGAGCAATGCGACCTCACACTAGTCTCTTACTTTCAGTGTGTCTGAGCTTTTGCGCCTACATAGTGGGGACAATAATAGTACCAAGCTCGTGGGGTTGTCCTAAGGATCAAGTGAGTTCATGCACGGGATGGCACTTCATTACTGCCTGGCACGCGGTGACCCTGTGTCCATGTTCCCACATGATCATTCTCAGCCTTCTCCTACACTTGCCTGTTTAGGGATGGAAATCAGCTTCTTCTCTGTGATATCACACATACACACAAAACGTGCTCACAACACATTTATCTAGAACAGGGATCAGCAAGTTTTAAAGTTTTTCTTTAAAGGGCCAGAGATTAAGTATTTTCATCTTTGCAGGCCATATGGACTCTGTTCCAACCATTCAAGTCAGCTGCTATAGGGAAAAGCAGCCGCGGAAAATACGAAAACAAGTTCGGCCCTCGGGCCTCAGTTTGCCAAACCCTGGAGGGGGTTTGCCCTGTAGCAACACACACAACCAGAAAGCTGAATGTTAGACTTCCCTGTTCCTAAAACCTCCCTGCCACCTGCACTAGGAACTTTCACCCTCACCATGATTCACAGACACTTGCATACCTACTTCCTGCCTAGTTGCCCAGCTCCACACACGCTCTGACCACTTCCCAACTCTCCTGTTGCTCAGCCTACCCCCACCTGTCCCTGGTCCTCACCTTGATCAGAGGAGCTTCACTTTCTCAAGTTTTCTCTTCCTAGCCCAGGTCTTTACAGACTCATTCTTTAATGCAACACTATTTCCTTGCCTTCCACACTGTGACTTTCACTAGGAACTCAGGAGTCAGTGATAAATGAGACAGACAGCCCCACCCTCACGGAGTTTATAGTCTTAGAGGAGATGGGTTAGTAATCCCACAAAATAAATAGATGATTTCAAAGTGACAAATGTTCCAGGAGAAAACAGGGACGAACAGGCACACGTTTTTAGCCTGGAGGTGGTCATTAGGGAAGGCCTTTCAGGGAAAGTGACCAAAGGATAAGAAAGAGCCAGCCTTGTGGAACTGGGGGGAGCTGTATGTGCAAAGGCCCTGAGGTAGAAAGAACTTGGTGTAGTCTAGAAACCATCAGAAAGTTGGAGTGTGATGGGTGGGGGGTGGGGCCAGAGAGGGTGACAGGACCCCATCCTGTAGCAGCTTCTCAGTGTCTCTTCTCCAACAAAAAAATGCTCCCCCCTTCAAGAGATTGCTGGCACCAGGGTAAGACAGGAGTTTCTTTTTTTTTTTTTAATTTTTTTGTTGTTATGTTAATCCCCATACATTACATCATTAGTTTTAGATGTGGTGTTCCATGATTCATTGTTTGTGCACAACACCCAGTGCTCCATGCAGAATGTGCCCTCCTCAATACCCATCACCAGGCTACCCATCCTCCCACCCCCCTCCCCTCCAGAACCCTCAGTTTGTTTTTCAGAGTCCATCGTCTCTCATGGTTCGTCTCCCCCTCCGATTTCCCCCCCTTCATTCTTCCCCTAAGACAGGAGTTTCTTGATCCTGAAGCCCTGGGTTTTAAACACCTGTGTCCCCGCAGGGCGGGGTGGTTGGCATCACCGTCGACTGGAACTGTGACCTGGACTGGCATGTGCGGCACTGCAAACCCATCTACGAGTTCCATGGACTGTATGAGGAGAAAAACCTGTCTCCAGGCTTCAATTTCAGGTGCCTGCCAGGACCCCCACCAGTGCACCCTTCCTTGGGCTCCCGGAACCCCTTGAGGGGTTTTCTACTCCCAGAGCCTCTTAGGCCAAGTAAGTGTCCCCAGGAAGAAAGCAGAAGGAAGGCGGGCAGCTCCCATTCTCCTGGGTCTGGCCAAGCAGGGAGCCCGCAGGGAACAAGACCTTGGCAGCCTGAGCCCCCACCCTTTGAGGCCCACCTGGCCAGGACTGGCGGGGGAAATCACTGACATCAGGAGTTAGGGTGAGGATTGAAGATAGCATTCCTGGAAGGGGGCCTGGGGTGTTGGGGGCATGGGACCGTCCTCATGGACCTCTGAGGGCTCCTGCTGAACTCCAAGAACACTGAACCCAAAACTGTTCTCCATCACCCTTTTCTGCAACCTCACCCTTTCCCCAAGGTTTGCCAGGCACTTCGTGGAAAACGGGACCAACCACCGCCACCTCTTTAAGGTGTTTGGGATTCGCTTTGACATTCTCGTGGATGGCAAGGTGAGTGTCCAGTATGAAGGACAGCCAGACACATTCTTAGTTCCTGTGAGTGCTCGTTGGGTGTCCATGGCTATAGACCACAGGAAGTTGACTAGGCTTCATTCTGCAGTTTTATTGCTAATAACAGATGGGCCTCGGTACCCAGTGAGGGCAGGTCTTTCCAGCCGGTACCTCGCCTCCTCCACTACCTCCCTGTGTCCAGGGAAGCAGAGCCAAGGTCAAAACCCAGGGCTTCTAACCAGCAGCTGGGTCCCCGTGTAGAGCCAGAGCTGTAGGGAGCAGGCTGTGGGGCCAGCTAATGGTGGGGGTAGAGGGTAGAAAGGGGGAGCTCCTTGCCCCGGGTCTAGCCTTGGGGTTTCTGAGGAAGGCCTTTTCCACCTGGCTCCTTCTGACTGTTAATCCTTCTCTTCCTGGGCCCTGCCACCAGGCTGGGAAGTTTGACATCATTCCCACAATGACGACCATTGGCTCTGGGATTGGCATCTTTGGGGTGGTAAGTGCTAGGGTCATGGGGTCACTGTACTAAGGTCAGTCCCTCCCCTTCCACATCTCAGTGGCGGCCATAGTCTCTTACCTCATCCTTACTGAGCCCACCCCACCACCCCAGACCCACGTATGTCTAAAGAAACAGGCCCAGGGTTGGGGCAGGACAGAGGTGGGATGGGGTGGTCTTGATCTCCTGAGGGACCTGCAATGCCTCATCCCCCACTTCCAGAACCTGAAGTCTAGGTAGAGCAGGTTTGAGCCAGGCCCCCCAGCCAGAAAGGACTGATGTGGGATATGGACGGTTCTGTCCCTGCCCCCAGATCCCCATGCTCTCTCTGACCCTTCCCTGCCCTCAGGCCACGGTTCTCTGTGACCTGTTGCTCCTCCATATCCTGCCCAAAAGGCACTACTATAAGCAGAAGAAGTTCAAGTACGCGGAGCACATGGGGCCAGGGGCGGTAAGAGAACTCCCTGCATGGGCCTTTCGGAGGCCTTAGGCCTGCACGTCTGTGTTGGGGGGCCAGCTGCTTCCCTGCAGCTGACTTTTTATCCCCTGCCCTGCTTACACAGGGTGAGCGTGACCCTGCAGCCACCAGCTCCACCCTGAGCCTGCGGGAGAACATGAAGGCATCCTGACCCTCAGCCCCTGCCTCTTGACTGGACACAGCATGAGGCTTCAGGCAGGGGCCCTGCTGGGGGCCCAGGACAGAACGGTCTCCGCAGGAGCTCTCTACGCTCTTAGCCAGGAAGACACTAGGCCTCGGCAGCCCAGAGGGGACACTGGGAGAGACCTGAGCAAGTCTGGGCTCTGGCCCCAACTCCACAACCCCAAAGGGAGCTTCGCACCAGCCTCAGCCACTCCTGGTCTAGAGGGGCTGGGGCTGGGCAGGGATCCTCTCACACCCCTCCATCAGAGCTGTGTGCTTCTCTCTGGGCCCTCATGCACCGCATTGCCTCGTGTCTCCAGATCCATGCTTTCCCATATGGCAGACACTAGCCACGATGACCATTTAAATTTATATTAATTTAAACCGAATAAAATAAAAAAATCAGTTTCTAAAACTAGCCACATTACAACTGCTAAATAGAGACATGTGCCTAATGGCTGCCATATTGGACCACATAGACTAGTGCAGCAAGTTCTATTGGACAGCTCTGCTTGAGCCCTGTTTCTTACTGGCCCCAGATTTTCCTAGGGAGCTTATCAACAGTGCAGGCACCCGGGTCTACCTCAGATCTCCTGAACCAGAATCTCTAGGGCTGGCCACAGATATGCAAGGATGGCAAACTCCCCAGGCCATTTCAAAGACTGAAGTTTAGGAACCGTTCCCGATTGGGTATCAGATTTAGTCTGGGCCTGCCTGACCTGGCAGCTGCAGGTTTTGCGTAGGTGTGTGGTATACCTGCAAGTCACATGGTCTCACGTACACACCCCCATGTCCACACTCATCTGCATGCGTACCCCCCTCCCATCCACACTCTGGTTTTGAACAGCTTGGGCCCTGCAAACACAACTATCTGAACGTACCTACACCCTCAAGTACAGACACATGGTCCATGCCACAACACTTCCATGGAGACGTGCTTCTCCCTAAGTGCGTCAGGCCAGGACAGTCCCTTCAAGCCATGAATCCTCACTCAGCTACCTTGGGTTGGGTTGGAGCCCTGGCCAAATCCTGGGCTCCCTGCTTGTGGCCCAGCCTCAGCACCTAAGGCCTGCCCAATTCTGTCTGAACACAAGGTCTGGGAGAAGGGAGGGGTGGAGTACAATAAAAGGAAGGAGGACAGACTTCTGCCTTCTGTACTTTTCCCCACTTTTCCCTCTCTGAAACTAGGTGTCCCCATCTGTGGAATGCGGGGCTGAGCTGAGAGATCTTTGAGATCCTCTGGATCTCTTGGTAGACAGTGGTGAGTCGCCACTTAGGCCCTGAGCCCAGCAGGGTCAGTGCTGGAGATCAGCTCACCTCTGTCCATGGGCCACTGTACCCAAACATTGGAGCTCTTTCTGGTCCTCCATGTACCCCTCCCACAGCTTTGAGAGGCCTGGAACTCAGACAGCAGACACTCTCCGGAGCGGCCTCAGGAAAGCAGGAATAAGAACGGGGCTGGCTGCTCCAGGAGAGAGACCTGAGGGAATCTCAACGAGGGGAGGAAGGTCTTGAATGGACATAGTGTGGAAGGATTTTCCAGGGGCCCTGCAGTGGGCAAGACCTGCAGTCTGGACCTATGGCGAGGCAGGGTCTCTGGGAACCCCCCATCACCACACTCTATCTAGACCAGTGCTGTCCAATAGCAATGATGGAAACATTCTCTATCTGTGCTTCCCAAAATAGTATTCACTAACCACATGTGGCCACTAAATACTTAAAATGTGGCTAGTGTAACCAAGGAACTGAATTTTTAATTTTATTTACTTTTAATTAATTTAAATCACCACACATGGCTAGTGGCAGTAAGAAACAATATCGGACAGCACAGGCCAGCCCCCTCTCTGTCCTTCAGGCCCTTGACTTTCTGCCCTCTTCTCCAGCTAAGACCCATCCTTCGGATTTTACAGGACAGAAACTCCCTCTTCTTCCCTCCTTTTGTTCTCCAGTCCTGCCTGCTTTTGCACCTCCTGCCCCCTTCCCTCCTGAATGATCCGAGGATTCCTCCTTTATATCCAACCCTTCTATCCAGCCCAGAGGCCTCCCGGCAGAGGCTACCTTACCTCTCCAGTACCTGCATCTGCTCCTCCCTTCTGCCTCCTCCCGGCCCTCGTTCCTCTGCAGCTCTGCCTGCTCTACCTTCACTGCCAACGTTCCAGAAAGACCTACACGTCTACACTTCCCTCTGCATCCCACCCTCTGCAACTGGCCTCCAGCCCCCACCCCCACTTCTCCTAAATGCCCTTGTCAAGGTTACCAACAGTCCTTGCTGCCAAATCCAAGCAGACCCTTCAGCCCAGAGCCTGCTTGGCCTGTCAGTCTCTGACACTGTTGACCAAGCCCTCTTTTGTGGAAAGATTTCCTTCCAACAGCTCCCAGGACCCACCCTCTCCTGATTTTCCAGCCAGACCAGTATACAGGGAAAAGACAGGTTTCAACCGCAGCTCTGCCAAGGGTCACTGTATGTCCTCAGGCAAGTTGCTGAACCCTCCAAGCCTCTCTGTGAGTCAGGGACAATAATAGCCTCTCCTCAGGTTGGGGTAAGATAAGATCTGTAAAGTGCCTAGCACAGAGCCTGACATACCAGTAGCGCTCTGTCTCTCCATCCAGCCTCCCTTTCAATGGTGGAGTCAGCTAGTGTCCCTGGGTACCTCTTCTGTCTACGAGGATGCAACCCTTGGTTCTTAGCTGGGTATGTGGCTGCCTAGCATAGAAACTGCATTTCCTGCCTCCTCTTGCGGCTGGGGCTGGTCATGTGACTAAGTTTTAGCTAATGGGATATATGTGGAAGTACCATGTGACACCTTTTGGGAACTTCCCTTAAAAGAGAGCTGGTGCAGATTCTTTGCCCTCTTCTTCATCCTTGTCTTCATCCACTGCCTGGAATGCATATGTGAAGGCTAGAGCTTCAGCCACCACCCTGAACCATGAGGACAAGCGTCATAGTTTGCTGGAGCAGTAAGTGGAAAGAGCCACATCTGGAAGGTCTTTGTGGAGCAGAGCTGACCTACTGGCCTTGGTCTGTCTTCTCTGAGGCTCTTATGTGGGATTTCTGGTACCTGAGTCAAAATTGATCCTACTTGGTGCAGAAATCTTTCCTCCTTAAAAACTTGAGTGTTCTGTCCTTGACCTCTGCTTTATTTGCTCTGAGTTATCTCACCCTTTCCCATGGCTATACTTACAATTATGGGTCTTTTCTGACAACTTCCAAAACTGTCTTTCTGGCCCAGCCCTCCTTCCTGAACTCTAGTCCCACATATCCAACCTGGGTGCCACATCTGATTATTCATTAGACAAACATCTTTTTTTTTTTTTAAGATTTTTATTTATTTATTTGAGAGAGAGAGAATGAGAGACAGAGAGCACGAGAGGGAAGAGGGCAGAGGGAGAAGCAGACCCCCTGCTGAGCAGGGAGCCCAAAGCAGGACTCGATCCTGGGACTCCAGGATCATGACCTGAGCCGAAGGCAGTCGCTTAACCAACTGAGCCACCCAGGCGCCCCTAGACAAACATCTTTTGAGCACCCACATGCTCATGATGTGTCAGACTGTATGTTGGGTGAATTAGACACAGACCCTGTCCAGAGGGGGAACAGGCAAGTAAACGGATCCTAAGTACAAGGAAATCCCTAGGAGGGGCTGCTAACCCATGCTGAGCAGTGAGGAGGTCATAGGGAAGGACTCCTGGCAGAAAGGACATTGAACCAAGCCCTGAAAGGGGTGAGACAGGTAGGTGGTTGGGACTGAGATCATGGAGGGCTTGTTTGGACCTATTCTCAGGATACTGATGAGCCACAGAAGATTCCTAAGCAGGAGCTAATTAGTTAGACTTAGGTTTCTGAGAGATAGCTCTGGAGGCCAAGTGGAGAAAGGCCAGTAGGAGGAGTGAGACTGGATGGGGATGGGGCTGCTGCAGCAATCCAGGTATACAAAGATGGTGGCCTGAGCTAAAAGAGAGGTAGAGAGCTGGAGAGAAATGAATGGATTCCAGTGATATTTAAGAGCCAGCCTGAGCGGGGCTCGTTGGGGCTAGGGTGACTCCTAGTTTTCTGGCTCCAGACTGAGACAGGGACACAAGAGGCCAGGTTTGGGGGAGTGATATGGAGCTCTGTTTTGGGCAAGTGGTGGGGTGAGGTGCCAGAGGATTCACAAATGAACTTAGCATAACTGAACCAAGAGCTGGTGAGCAATCCAGAGGAGAGGTATGGGGATGGGCAGAGTCCCCAGGAATTGCCACCGTAAAGGTCAGGACGTCCTGACCTCTGTCCCAGCTAGGCCATTCCTGCCGCCTGTTTCATAGAGCTCTTCCCCAAACATGAATCCGACTATCACCCCAGCACTCTGTGATAAATCCCTTCGTGTTTCCCCAACCCGCCCGCCCCCCCCCCCCCCCCCCCCCGGCAGAAGGGCAGAAGTCTAAACTCCCGAGTCTACCATTCACGGCCTTTCTCCCTGGCACTGAGCCCCTGCCTCATCCTAGTCGCGGATCTCACTTTGCCCCCCTCCTAGTAGGCACCGCGCATCTCCAGCACCGCCCCCTCCCTCCCCCCCGCCACCCGTGCGCCCTTGCCCCAGCCAGGCCCAGATGGGAGGAGACAAAGGGTTTGGGGGACTAAGCACTTGGATTCTCCAGGTCGGGCTAAAAGGCCCAGACCGCGGTTTGGAGGGATCTGGGGGGAGGCCAGGTAGCCTTAACTGGGGCGTCGGGGGCGTGACGAGGTCCAGCCCCGCCGCAGGGGGAGGGGCCCCTCCTGAGCCACTGCCCGCCGTGGCCCCTCCCCTCCGGGAGCCGGGCGGGAGTCCCGGGCCCTGATTGGGCGGCGCCGCGGGCCGCGCAGCACGACCAATGAACGCGGGCGGGGCGCAGCGGCGGGCGAGGGAGGGAGAGCTGTCTGGAGCCGCGGCGCGGGCGGTCTGAGCTCCGCGATCCCAGCCCGGGGAGAGGCGGGTGGGGCGGGGCGCGAACCTCGGGAGCGAGCCTGGTCGCCCGCCCGGCCGGCCGCGGAGACTGTCGCCAGGCGCCGAGGTAGGGGTCGGTGGGGAGGGGACCTGGGGCGGGGAGCGGGAGGGGACGAACGCCTGAACGTCTGCTCGGAGCCTGTAGGGAAGAGGGATGGTCTACGAGGCCGCGTCTAACGAGGGCCTCCGGGACCGCATTGGTGCGGGGATCCTCCCCCCTTTTGGGGGGCCGGATCTACGAGGTACCTCCCGGAGCCCGCTTCTATCTGCGCCGGCAGCCTGGACCGCATCTATGCGGGCACTCCGCCATCTGCGTCGCTTCCCCAGCTCTAGCCTGCGGGGCTGCGTTCATACCCGGCGCACTACCCACCCCCGCCCCAGCCGTGGGTGGGAGGCCGTGTCTCTGCAGAGTGGGCCCAGACCTGTGCACCCACGTGTGGATCAGTGCGGAGTGCTCCTCCTACACGGCTCTCCGCTGAGTCTTCCTGCAAAACCTGGGGAGAGGCGGGGTGGGGGGTGGGGTTCTGGATGAATGGGACAGATGTGGCGTGTGGCTTTAGCTGCGCAGTAGTCCCCCTGGATGGGGCCGGGGTGGAGGGGTTGGAAGAAGCGGGCACTGCGGCTTCAGGGGCCTAACAGGCACAGAATTGGTGGCTCGAATAGTGCACACGTGCGCGGGGACCTGTGTGTGGTGTTTGGAGGTGGGTGTGCGTGTCACGTGGACACAGGAGTGTGCCTGTGTGTCTGAGGGGAGCGCATGACTGGATGGAGTGGTGTGTGAGGGCCGATCACATGGACGTCGGCGTGCGACGTCGGTGTGCGCATCTCTGGGGGTATGTGTGTGTCTGGAGGGTGCAGAGGTGTGTAGAAAAGGTTATGCCCCGGGTCCCAGGACTGTGCCTTTGTGGGTGCATATGGGGCTGTGTATCTGCCAGGTGGGCCAGGGCATCGGGAGGATCACAAGGCTCGTGTCCTTGAGGATGCACTGGCCCCCACACAGCCCTCACTCCTTCATGCAGCAGGTACAGATTGAGCACCCACTGTGTGTCAGACCATGTCCTAGGCTCACAGACTCTGGGGACCCTTGCCTCCTCCTTGGCCTCTCACCCTCAGTCCCCACAGCGGGCAGGGGGATCATTTTAAACCTCATCCAACTGGGTCATTGCCCTGCTCAGAACCATCCTCTGGCTTTTGAGGCCTCCTGGTCTCTGTCCACAAACCCCTCCATAGTCAAGCCCTGAGTCCCAGGCTGAAAATGGCTGTCTGTCATGCACAGTGAGAACTTCCATCCTCTCCCCTCTGAAATCCTTACTCAGTGGTCATGAAAGAGCTTACATACCACCTCCTCCAGGAAGCCTTCCCTTGGGCCAGGCACAGCAAATGGCTGGGCCTTCTCATCCAGGTGTAACTCTGCTTGCCCGGGTATCTCTCACGCGCAGAACCCCACTCCAGCAACATTAGCCGCTTGCTGTTCCTCAGACTGTGAGCACTATCCCGCCTCACAGCCTTTGCAGGTGCTGGTTCCCCTGCTGCAGTGCCCTTCCCAGCTGTGCACACTGCCTGCCTCCTCACTTCCTCCAGCTTCTACTCACATTCTACAGAAAGGCCTTTCTGACCACACTATAAATAGTACCCCCCAGCCCCTACCCTTGATTCCCCTTACATGACTGTATTTTTCTCCATAGCACATACCACTTGACATATATCATCTGTTAATTACTGCCTTTCTTGTGTATTGCTTCTTGCCCCTACTAGAAATTAAACTGCCTGGAAGCAGGGACTTTGTCTTTGTGCTTCACTGTTTTATTTCCCAGCACCTAACATGGGAGGTGCTTATGGGATGTTTGTTGCATGGATGAGTGACTCTGGATTTGCATCCCAGGAGTCCGTGTCTCTGGTTGCTCCCTACCCTGTGAGCTCCCTGTCTGAGGCTAGGTCTGCTCTTCTTCTGTCCTCCAGATTCCAAGTTCCTGGAAGGCCAGGTGTGGGAAAATTGTGACCACATTTGCGTGTTAGAAATACTCCCTGTAGCAACTGGTGTGGAGGAGGGTGTGGAGTGGGGTCAGGGTATGAGCCTGGAGGTGGGGAGACTGTGTGGCAGAAGCAGTGGGAAAGAAAAGCAGAGGCCTAAGTCCTAACTTAGTGGCCTCACCCAGCAGTGGGGAGATCAAGGAGGGCTCCCAGAGGAGGAGACATCTGAGCTATCCTCCAGCAGCAAAATAGAGGGAGGTGTGTCCCTGGCAGAAGGCACAGCTTGTACACGGCTTCTGGCAGCAGAACAGAGTCTGCAGTTTGGGAAGCTGCGAGTGGCGTGATGCAGCCAGAGTAGAGAGTAAGTGTGGGGCTAGGGGAGCAAGGATGGGCGAAAGGGAGAAGATGGGCTCCCGGGTTTCTGGAGAACTGGGAGGATGACGGTACTTTTACCTCTGCAGCAGGCAGAGGAGGAAGGGCAGTCTTGGGGGAAATGCTAAGTTGAATGGGAACCCTGTGGGTCTGAGCTGCCCAGGAACATGGTGGGCAGGAGGCAGCTGGCTGGAAAGAATTGGGCTGGAGGTACAGACCTGGTGTGGAAGATGAGGAGGGGCAGAGATAGAGGGTGATGCCCGGAGACCATCAGCCAAGATGTGCTGAAGATGCACTGAGGGTTGCCATGCCAAATTGGGTACAGAGCCCACCTCAGTGCTTGGGGCCCCTCCAGGGATGATGGGAGGGGCGTCCTCACAGTAGGCATCCTCAAGCATGACTTGGCACTAGATGCCTGGGCCTCCCTCAAGGAGAACTGAGTCATCCCGGGCGGAGGCAGGAGCTGCAGAGGGTACCCGTTGCCAGGGCTGTCCAGACACTTGTCAAGAGCATAAGCACAGCGCCTGTGAGGCAGCCTGGCGATGTCAGCGCGACCTTCTGTGTCTGGCCTGGATGGCTAGATCGCCTCCTTGCAGCTTCCCCTTCTGGCCAGTTTTTGGATGGCCAGGCCATGTCCTCTCTGCCTGGATGGTAGGGGCCGCTCAGCCTGGCCCTGAGATTCACAGCAGCCTTCCGGAATTCAGAGTGAGGTCTGAGTGGTGCCTGAAATCATCCCAGGAGGGGCTGCTTGAACATTTGGACAAGAGCAGGGTCTGCCTGCTCTCTCCTGTCTGGGCCTCCTCCAAGCGACCCACGTGGGGGGGGGGGCACATCCTGAGGAGGAGGCCAGGCCAAGCAGGCATCTGGAACCAGGGTCTGCACGCTGGAAGTAGCCAGACACCTGGGGGCGGGGGGCATAGCCTGAGGGGGTTAATGTGCCAGGCCATCCTGGAGCCAGGGGGCAGATATGGGGTTCTACACTGTACATCAAGGCTCTCTATCTTGGTGGCTTCTGGATGTAGACACATCCTAGCCCCGTATCACTCGGGGCACGGACTGCTTCTCTGTCCACGATCTCATCTACTTCCTTCTATAGCCCTGGGAGTTGGCAGGATGGCAGCCTCCTGCTTGATTCACATGCGAGAAAACGGAGGCCCCAAGAGTCTCAGTGACTTTTCCAAGGCAACACAACCCAAGTCTGGGAGGACAGGATTAGGGTAGCTTTTCCCAGTGAGAGAGGGCCTGAGTCTGGTCATTCTTGGCTACGGGACCGGGCTGGTCCCTGGGAGGCTCTCCATGCCCATAGAGTCCATGCTGGGCCATGAGCCTGGGGTCCTAGCCTGTCTGTCGGTCCTTCTATTTGCCCATGTAGCCCCTAGTTGCCTACCCAGTCAGTTTCAACAAAGTGTCTACCGAGGCCTCAGCTTGGGGAGGACCCTGAGAGCACCCCTGGGTGGCCCCTCAGAGAGGGGTGGCACCTGCCCAGGACACACAGCCCAGCCTGGTGGACAGGTGACCATGTGGGAAGTTCAGACTTGACCTTCTGAGATCAGGTGTCCATGCAGACCCCACCCTGCATTCTGGAGCTCATGTACAGGAAGACTAAAGGCACCCAGTGCACATTAACACATTTACACACCTACACACCTGTGTAGACCACACCGCTAGAGTTCTGTCCCCATGCAGATGCGCTTCTCTGTGTGGACTTTTCCACCCCCGCCCCCCACAGACGCACACCGTGACCCCAGTCCACATCCCTGCTTGCACACGTTCTCTCATGTGTGGACACATGCCCTCAGATGCATAGCCTCAGGTGCTAGGCCCCGTCGCCTGGACATGAGGCTGGAACTTGGGGCCTCCCCACTGCCTCCTGCGCAGACATGCTTAGTCACCTGAATTTGATCCAGGCAGGAGGGAGGGTGGAGGGCCTGACGTCAGCCTTCATAGCCGCCTTATGCCGCCTGCACATCCATCTGGGCCACAGCGTGTCCTAGGCAATTGCAACAACAGCTGCACAACAACTCACT